TTACCGGAGGAATAAGGTGACAAGACAATAGTTGAATTTGTTGTAATTCTTGTCCTTTTATTGGGATTGCAGACAAAATGGACAGACAGTGGATACATAATCATAATAGATGTGATGTTGAGTACTTGGATGGAATAGAAAAGTTCATTGAATTCGCAACTAGGCATAACATAGGTTCAACTCATATCCGATGTCCGTGTAGGAGGTGTAACAACGCAATGTGGGAGACATTCTCGAATGTTCGATTTCATTTAGTAAGAAATGGGATGATGGAGACGTATACTACTTGGTATCATCATGGAGAACGATTAGACCAAGCTTCGTCTTCATACGTGACACGAGTGGAGACTGTTGAATCTAATGTGGATCCTAATGAACAAGTTATGAATATTCTAAATGACGTTTATCCATATGCCTCGAGTAACACCAATCAGGAAGGGGGAGATGACGGTTGTCCAACCATGGATAGTGAGGCATTCAAAAACTATGAAAAACTATTGAAAAATGCGAAGCAAGAATTATATCCGGGTTGCGAGAACTTTTCGATGCTCACAGCAATTGTGGAGTTGATGCATGGCAAGATCAAGTTTCGTCTGTCAAACAAGTGTTTTGATTATTTTTTGGGAGTTATCAAGAGGATGCTTCCAAAGGAGAATTGTTTACCTGAAGATCATAAAAGTGCCCAAAAAGTGTTGAAGGGTCTTGGATTGGGGTATGAAAAAATTCACGCATGTGTGAATAATTGTATATTGTTTTATAAAGAGAACAAACAATTGGATAAATGCCCTGTCTGCAATGAGCCGAGGTTTAAAATGACATCACAGAATAGAAAGACCAAGATTCCACAAAAAGTAATGCGTTATCTTCCATTGAAGCCTAGGTTGCAGCGATTGTACATGTCGATGCATACCGCAACCGACATGAGATGGCATAAAGAAGGACGAGTAAATGATGATGTTATGAGGCATCCTGCAGATGGAGAGGCATGGAAAGCATTCGATCAGATGTACCCTGATTTTGCAGCTGACTCGCGCAACGTCAGATTGGGACTTGCCACTGACGGATTTAATCCGTTCGGGGTTTTAAATCAAATCCACAGCACTTGGCCGGTTGTCGTATTTCCTTATAATCTGCCGCCTTGGAAGTGCATGAAAAAAGAATACATGATGTTGACTCTATTAATTACTGAAGATCCAGGAAAGTCCATTGATGTTTATTTGCGGCCGTTGGTTGATGAGCTAAAAGATTTATGGGAAAACGGTGTTTCTACGTACGATAAGTATACTGGGCAGATGTTTACCATGCGAGCAGCAGTGATGTGGACAGTAAACGATTTTCCCGCATATGCAATGGTTTCTGGGTGGATGACTAAGGGTTATTTGGCATGTCCAATATGCAAGGAGAACGTAACATCTTCTTGGCATGCAAGAAAAGTTTGTTATCTTGGTCATCGTAGATGGCTTCCTTGGGACAACGAGTGGCGTCAGAACGATAAAGCTTTCCATGGCACAAAAGAGACTCGGCCAAGACCAAGAGAATGGTCCGGAGATGAGATTTTGGATCAATTAAACTGTTTGGAATTTGGTCATTTCGGCAAAGGGGTCAGTAAGCCTAGACGAACTACACATCTGAACTGGACGCACAAGAGTATGTTATTTGAGCTCCCGTACTGGTCAAAGTTAAAAATGAGACACAACCTCGATGTTATGCATATTGAGAAAAATGTGTTTGATACTTTGGTCGGGACAATTCTAGACATTGAAGGAAAAACGAAGGACACGATCGAAGCTCGCCTCGATTTGGAACGAATGGGCATTAGGTCATCCTTGTGGATGAAGAGAATTGGTGGTACATTGAAGAAAGGCCATCCTTTTTTTACAGTTAAGCCGAATGGGAAAAAAGAGTTTTTCAACTTTATTTCTTCTGTAAAGTTTCCAGATGGGTATGCTTCTAATATGTCGCGTTGCGTGAACATGAGGGGGTGTAAATTTTCAAACATGAAGAGTCATGACTGTCATGTGATACTACAACGCCTTCTTCCGGTTGGTATTCGACACTTATTGCCTCTTGATGTGGTGAAACCAATCGTGTTGTTGTCGAGATTTTTTTCGCAATTGACTGCAAGGTGTTTGCGGAAGTCGGATGTTAAACAATTGCAGGACGACATTGTGAACGTTTTATGCAAGTTCGAACAGATATTTCCCCCAGCTTTCTTTACAAGTATGATTCACGTGATGATTCACTTGCCAGATGAGGCATTGCTTGCCGGACCAGTGAACTGTCGATGGATGTATCCAATAGAAAGGTACTTAATTAAGCGTCTATATATATAACAGATTCATGATCAACGAACACTTTGAATTATTTGTACCATACCTTTTATTTGTGCAGATATCTTGGTGAGTTGAAAAAGTGTGTTCGAAACAGGGCAAAGCCCGAAGGATCACTTGTGGAGGCATGGGTCGCATATGAGTCACTTACTTTTTGTGCAATGTATCTTGAAGATGTTGAGACAACTTTCAATCGTCCTCAACGCAATAATGACGGTGGTGTCAGAAAAGAGAAACTGTCTGTTTTTGCCCAAATTGCACGACCATTCGGCGATCCTGTAAAAGGTGAATCATTTACCAAAAAGGACATGGAGATAGCACATTGGTTCATACTTAACAATTGTGATGAAGCTTTGCCATACCTTGAAGAGCATGAACAATTGATGAAGCGGGAACATCCTTCACATTTATATGCCAAGAAGCACCGTGACTTGTTTCCTTCATGGTTTCACACACATGTAAGTTGTATGTGGTTTGAATTGAGCATATTTTCCAACTTGTTCATGCCCGTCTTTTAAATTTGGTTACACTAACATGTTAACTTTTTGTATATGTTATATTAGATGAACAAATTGAAGGCCTTGAATTCACCCTCTTACGATGAAGAATTATATAACTTGGCGAGAGGACCGCTTCACGTTGAATTGTTCTCAGGTTGTCATGTCAACGGGATCAAGTTCTTGGGGGCAACACGTGATGACAAGTTGTCTACTCAAAATAGTGGTGTTCATGTCCCGGGTGCGGGCGACAGTGAAGACATTGATTTTTATGGCAAACTAACTAGTGTAGTACAGTTGCTTTACAAAGACAGGTGTCAAGTGATACTATTTAAGTGTCTTTGGTTTGATACAAACCCACATAACCGAACAAGTGTTAAGCGAGACCATGGTCTACTATCAGTAAACACTACGAGACATTGGTACGATGAAGACCCATACATTTTGGCAACAATGGCGAAACAAATATTCTATCTAGACGACCCTAAAGCCGGCAATGGTTGGAAAGTTGTTCAGAAGATTGATCGAAGAGGGCTATATGATATTCCAGAAGTAGATCATGACGACAATGACGACAACGTTGCTGACCAACAGTTATCATCTTCGATAGAAATTGGTGAAGAAACACTCCGGGATACTAATATTGTCCAAGAACCGTTTGACGTACCTGGAGTTCCCGAATTCGAAATATCAATTGACCTTGGTGATCTGCCTCAATACAATGCACTGGAAGAGGCAAACGAAGATGAAGACGAATGGGAATCCGAAAATGATAGTAGTGAGGATAGCGAGAGTTATTATTGTAGTTCGGATGAGGATTAATATAAACTTGTAAAGGATAGTGAGAGGATAACGAGAATTATTATTGGTGATGTAATCATATGAAACTCACCTTCTACCCCTTTTCCCATTCATTGAAATTCATGTTTAAAGTCATAACAGGAAACAAGTATGGAGTTGCTGTTGGGAACACACTTGTAAGTTTTTCACTCTCTTTATATTTTTCGGCTTTTTTCACATATAAGTCTTTTGTACTATTAAATTTAGAGAGAAGCATTTCAAGCACAATTCTTTAGAAAAACACTGTCTTGCCTTATCAACAGTAGAAACTACAGCAGTATCGGCCGCCAGAAGAATAGTTGAAGCGGATGAGTTTATGAGGGCCGGCTTATATGATGGATGGCTTGGAAAACAGCATCAAACACGGAGGAGATGCTCCGAGAAGCAGATGTGGTATGGCTCTCGCTCTCCTTACCCCTCTTTTTTTGTTTTACTTAAACCGTGTCTAATTGTGTGGTTTCCAATTCTTATTCTAGATAAGCCTTCACCTAATTCTGGATAAGACCACTTATCATCTTGTATATTTGTATAAATGAATGTGAGAGATACACACATGTTTCGAGTTGGCTTGGATGTCTTCGAGGTAAAAAACCACACCTAATTCCTTGTTGTATTCAACCTTTTTCGAACGCTATCTCTGATATTTGAGTGGTTTGTGAATGAAGTTGCATTAGGATGAGCCTTACATGAAGCTTGGGCTTGCCGAGTTGAAAAATGTTGTTGTGGTACCTCACATTGCTTCCGCTTCCAAGGTAATTACCATCCATATTAGTTCAAACACGTTAGGGAAGGAGCTTTCTAATTTTAAGAACATAAAGATTTGTTACCTTATCAAACGAGGAGTTTTCTGATTTTTGTAGTGAATGTGAGTTTTTAAATGCTCGTCCCCTGATTTTAACCTTTTTCCTGTTGATTTTATGAATGTGAGTTTTTAAATTGCTACTTTAAAAAACCAGGGGATAATGGTCGACCTCATTTTTCTTACTGCGGATCATGTTCTTGTGCAAATTTTTATTAAATTTTTCTGTAGACCTGCTTGTCATTTTTGTTTCTGTGACAAGATTATCATGAACTGCTGTAGAGATGTTCTTATGTTATTCTGACCAAGTGTGTTATGCATTTTGCTCTTGGCATCCAAAATTGACAAGATTTTTGTTCTTGGTGATGTTTGATGACTTAGTTTGCTTTAAACGAAATGTAGGACACAGTTGTTCAAGGATCGCTTGTGTTAGTAAAGTTAGAAGGCAGGGTTCATTACTAGAGAGAGCATATGCCTGGGAACAAGTACAACGGTAATTCAGCCCACATCCCACCAACTCGAGTTGAACGGCTCTTGAGAGAAAGGGAGCTAAGGAAAAATAACAAGGCCTTCAACTTGAATGAAACATTTGAACCTGAGTTGCAGTTAAGAGAAGATGAAAACTCAAATGCTGCCCATGTCTCTGTAACTTGATAATTTGGTTGAAAAAGCAAAAGGGTATGGCTGGTTCTTGCCAGATTTCGATATGCGTGGTTTCTGTTTTTTTCGATACGGGGAGTTCGAAATTATTGTTTTTGTGGTAAAAATTGATTTTTCGTTTTGATATGAGGTGTTTGTGTAACTTGATAATTTGGGTTGAAGAGTAAAAGGGTATAACTGGTTCTTTCCTTTTTTTTTGTATGTGTTTGTTTGCATATCGCTCTGTAATGGTTGCTTCTTGAAATTCCAGGCTTTGGTTTTGATGCTCAGGTTTTTTAGTGTATCACTTGTTGCATTCTTCTTTCTATGGCGTGCTTCGTCAGCCGGATCACAAGCTGAGGTGAAGGTGAGATGAAGTCTCATCGGGCTTCAAGTTGTTTCTGATTTGGTTGCTTTAACACTCTAGAAATATGTTCATATTGTACTGAATAGCTGCCTTGTGTATGGCTAGGGCTTGGTCACCGTAGACTCCGCCTCAGTAAACGACGAAAAGGTTGATGTGAGTCAAGCTGGCACTGCAGATTCCATAGCGTGGGAGAATCTTGGCTGGTTCTATGTCTCGGTCAGAATTGCATTGTTCCTCTGGGTATGATGAATATATCTCTGCAATTAGAAGAGGTGAAGATTCATGGTCTCTGGAGATGAGTGCAGGGGGTCTGGTCAGTAATTCCATCCGCTCCTGCCTACAAGTTACAACCACAAAACACCATGACAATCACACTCCAAAGAAGGATCAATTCCAGCTAGTTTATCTTCAACATAATTTCATTCACTAAAAGTGTGAAGTCACCAAGTTAAACAAAGTGTGCAGAGGATCACAAACTAACTCACATGTCTACTGCAATTAAGAACCGAGCTTAGGATAAATGGATAATGTATTATTTATCGTATTGCATGAACAACTTGTCAAATGCTTTGTATATTTCAAAGCTCTACTGTATTTTGCAGTACAACAGCAATTAGGTACACAATACAGTAGCAACTATTTCTTATTTAAATCGATAAATCCATCGATATTATTCAAGGATGCATGCGCCGTCATCGGCATCGTCGTCGTCTTATCATTTGTCAAATGGGAATCAAAAACTTCAGAAATTGCTGCAGAATATATCTCAATTCATGACATGAGACTTGTTCAAATTGAAGTAATAGTATAATGTTGAAGACTTGTTCAAAACTTCCAAGGGGCATGTTGCTCGTCTGGCGGCACGAGGTCAAGCGAAAGGGGCATGCCTGTCTATAAGATACATTAGGCTCCCATAAGAGGGTTTTGTACCAACTGTTGACAAGTTCGAAGTCACCACCTTACCCGGCCGATAACTTCTCGATCATGCCCGTTTTGTACGCCTTCCCACTTGAAGGGCCAACTCCGTATCAATCTTGAGGGAGATGTCTAGAGCCTTTACAGAATGAGTCAGTGCACCACTGCAAACATAAATTGCACTTTGTAAACCATGCCAAGAATATACTAACGATGACTGAACCATAATATCGGTAAAATATCATTTCGTATGTTGTCCCTGCCAGCCTATTTGCAATGAGATGCAATTTTCACAACCTCAAGCGATGAGATTACACACTGCCACCGTCTTATTTCAACGGAGCAGCAGTGCACCATATCTACAAGCAGCAGATGTGAAGTGAGGATGATCAAAATGGAACTATAACATGGCCAAGAAGAAGAAGGCAGAATGATTTACTATTCATTTAAAGAACTCCCAACGACAGACCAAACAGCTTAAGTCATGCCAAGCCAGCAGGCTTAATGACAGATTAGGAAGCTGCGCCGTTACCTAGAAATGAAGTCAACCCCTGTTTGTCCAATCTTGTGTACGGTTTCAAGAGTAACATTACCAGATGCCTGTTGCAGTGAAGCAGATAAGTCAGAAATAAAAAGGGAAAAATCGAATCCATGCGATTAGTAATATTTCTTTAACCTAGATACAAAGAAAGAGTCCTTAAAAGAAAATAGTGAAACTACTATATAAGATGTTTATGGAAAGTTCCATACAGCCTAACAATCCACATTATCTACACCAAGATTATGGACTGGCATGGCAAATGTTATAAGAAATCGGATGCTTTGAAGCACTTTACAGATGTGCATGTAAGGAGCTTTAAGTTATATCAGTTTTTAGGACTAAAGGAAAACAAATTTAGCAAAACCATTGGTTATAGATAATAGAAAAAACTGAAAAAATAACTTAAGCTACCTCAGTTTCGAATCTCCGATCAATCAATTTCACAGCTTGTTCGAGCATGGATACATCAACATCCCCATTTGGTAGTGGTACAACCATATTATCCAACATTATCCGCGTCAAGGAAGTCTTTGTTTGAGATGCATATTCCAATACCTTTTCTATCTCCTCAAATGTCCGGGTCTCAACCTGGGAATCAAATCGAAATACCCCATTAATCGAAATACCCCATCAACCTGAACTTTCATCATGGAATTGGGAGAAATGTAACTTACGAACAGAATTAAGATTTCTGACAAAACCACACAGTTTCTTTCCCAGATTCATGTTACGCATTAATGTGAGGAAAGAAGTTACTTTTGCGCTCATCCTGAGCATGGCAAAAGGTTTCACGGATTACATTATTCAACATAAACTCATCAGGAAGTTAATGACCATTAGATAGAGACTAGACTAGTCGTAGTTGACACCGCTACCGGAAAATTTGTCAAAAGCATATTCTACTTTCTTTCTTTGTCAAAAGCATATTCAATTAACTTTCTCTTAACAAGAACAAAAACGCAATCTACTGACTCTGAAATCTACTACAACACTACAAAATGGAGTAACCATGAACGGCAAATGGGCAGAGCAACACCAATTTTGTTAAACTGGAAGAGATAAACATACAACCTACGACCCAAAAATCATAAAGCCACAAGTAATGCAACTGAGAAATGCTCGGAATTTGATGATGTCAAAATCAAATTTAAACAACACACATCATATAATTCCACAATACAGCGTGAACTAAAGCTATAAACTTTAGACAAAAACCATGAAAACACAAAAAATTGAGTGATGGGTTCCATTAATTTGCGCCCGAGAAACATTCATAAAACGAGAAAAGGAAACAAAGAGTATCGAAAGTATGGTGGGGTGGAGGTTAGTGCTATACCTGACTGGCGATCGAAGGCGGAAGCAGAGGGGAGGAGGGTGGAGAATCGAACCGGTTGCGGCCGAGTTTTAGAGAGAGAAACAACGAGAGGAGCAACCCATCTCCTTAAACTTCCTTAAAATCAATACCGACTCATCACCCAACTCATCACAATTCACAAACCCGAAATCAAGCCCGTAACTAAAGAGTATCCTAGTGGCCACGCATTTTTTTTTCTTTCAATTATCATTGTTTTTCTATTTTAATATACCATATCCTTAGAAGTAAATGAATAAGGGGCAGAATTCACCTTTCAACGTTTCGAAATTCAAATATAAAATTTTTCGCTTAAATAACTGATCACTTATGTAATGAATATCATTACACTGAAAAGAGCCACTTAAACGAGTAATAAAATATAAAATAAAATAAAAAAGAGATATTGTAACTTAATATCGTTTTGTATAAAAAGCTTTTTCAAAAAGAAAAACAAACAAGATGAGTCTAGAAAGTTTGCAACTTTGGTATCATTGGATTGTCAAGTTGCAATCTTTGGTTGTCAAAGTAAAAAAGTAGCAATCTTTTCTTTGGAGGACGGTGGGGGTATCCAAACTCGAAAGTCAAGTCGCAATGATTCAATATAATGAGTAGTGTCCTCAGCGTACTTGTGCAACCATTTACTCGAATTTAAGTAAGAAAGAATAGCTTCAAACGTGTTTTTTCGTTTATAAGATTTTATGGTATCCACTTGTGTAAATATTTTAAATTGAAGATCGAATTCATTAATTGTATTCATATAGGGTCAAGGAGTGTAGTTATAAAAAATCATCAAAATCGGAGTTAAAATAACCGTTAAATCGTGATTTTTCGTTTATAACCGTTGAAAAGCTTTGTCCCGTTACTTGATATCTGAATGTTTTTTTTTTTGTGATTTTTTGCTGATGTGATCTCCAAGCATATACAAACATTTTTGACGGTTTGGATCATTGAAATTAGTTTTGGAGAATTCGTAAAACGATAGATTGACTAACACTTAGAGTTTATTTTATACTTTCATTAAGTATAACATAAGATTTTGTGGTATCCACTTGTGTAAATATTTTAAATTGAAGATCGAATTCGTTCATTGTATTCATATAGGGTCAAGGAGTGTAGTTATAAAAAATCATCAAAATCGGAGTTAAAATAACCGTTAAATCGTGATTTTTCGTTTATAACCGTTGAAAAGCTTTGTCCCGTTACTTGATCTCTGAATGTTTTTTTTTTGTGATTTTTTGCTGATGTGATCTCCAAGCATATACAAACAATTTTGACGGTTTGGATCGTTGAAATTAGTTTTGGAGAATTCGTAAAACGATAGATTGACTAACACTTAGAGTTTATTTTATACTTTCATTAAGTATAACATAAGATTTTGTGGTATCCACTTGTGTAAATATTTTAAATTGAAGATCGAATTCGTTCATTGTATTCATATAGGGTCAAGGAGTGTAGTTATAAAAAATCATCAAAATCGGAGTTAAAATAACCGTTAAATCGTGATTTTTCGTTTATAACCGTTGAAAAGCTTTGTCCCGTTACTTGATCTCTGAATGTTTTTTTTTTGTGATTTTTTGCTGATGTGATCTCCAAGCATATACAAACAATTTTGACGGTTTGGATCGTTGAAATTAGTTTTGGAGAATTCGTAAAACGATAGATTGACTAACACTTAGAGTTTATTTTATACTTTCATTAAGTATAACATAAGATTTTGTGGTATCCACTTGTGTAAATATTTTAAATTGAAGATCGAATTCGTTCATTGTATTCATATAGGGTCAAGGAGTGTAGTTATAAAAAATCATCAAAATCGGAGTTAAAATAACCGTTAAATCGTGATTTTTCGTTTATAACCGTTGAAAAGCTTTGTCCCGTTACTTGATCTCTGAATAATTTTTTTTTTTGATTTTTTGCTGATGTGATCTCCAAGCATATACAAACAATTTTGACGGTTTGGATCGTTGAAATTAGTTTTGGAGAATTCGTATGCCATCAATCAAGTTCCGTGTGTGTGTGTGTGTATATATATATTTATTAAGTAGATTTAAATCTATTTATTTTGTACGTATAAATTATAATTGACTAGTACATGGAATAGTACATACATCACGTGTCACGTGTGTCATTTACAAAAATAGTGAGATATGTCATGACAGTCATGTGTTTGATAAAAAGTTAATAACTTTAAAAAAAATAAAAAAAAAAATTCTCACCACTTCTATTAATTTTTATTTTTTCCTCTCTTTTTTGTTTCCTTTTTAATTTTTTCTTATCATTTTCACTTTTCCCTCCAACATCTTTCCCTAATTTTCTCACTTTTTTGTTTCATTTTCAACTTTTCTTAACATTTTCATTTTCCCCGGAAGGCCTCGTAGTCAAGGTGAATCCCACTTATATATTTTAGTCCGAGGACTCACCAAACATAGTATTATGCTCCTACTTATGCCAATCATTCCTAAAAAGGTGAAACAAACGCACCCTAAATATCTTGCTTAATTAACCAATATTTGTATCAAATCTCCATGATGTCTGTCTAACTCGTGGATGATAGCGATTTCTCATGATTTTCTTGGGCAAAAAATAGCAATATCCGAATGAGGACATTGTTAATTTGCAGGCACTTTCTTGGAACCCTGCCAAAGAAGCCGTTCATAGTTTGCTTCATACAATTAATTGTCACGTTTTTCTATATGGAGCTGTTTTCATACAAACCCATGTGTAGAGTTGGTTATGATTTTATCAATGAATTCCACATTCAACCACATTTATCAATTAATGAATTCCATCTTGTATACGTATAACATCAAACCACATTTGTTAGAAAAATATATTATAGTGGGGTTTATGTAAAAAAAAATTTGAATTTCAAAGGAAGAAAATCACATTTTCAGTAATTTTTTTAATAATTAAAAAAAAAAAAAAAACTTTGCGCGACGCCTTAATGTGATCGTCGCGCAAAACCACTTTGCGTGACGTCAAATTGTATACGTACGTCGCGCCAGTTGTGATAATTTTGGCGGTGCAATAGTAAAAAAAAGGCGCGTTTTTTTTTTCTTCAAATTTTTAATTTTATTTCCCTTTTAAGTTTGGATGCTCATTTTTCATCCTCAGTTTGTCCAAGTTTGAACGCTCACCTCAAACCTTTCACCCTCAAATCTCAAACCATCCTCACCTCTCATCCCTCAAATCTCAGACCCTCCTCGAACTCACTCTCTCTCTCAGTCTCGCAGACAAGTGGCTCACCTCTCATCCCTCACTTCCTCCCACATCGCTGATTTCTTTTTCGATCTCACTGTTCATCGGTTCTCCCCCAAATCAGGTAAATTTTGGAATTAATTTAGGGTTTATGCAATTTAGCACTTGGAAGATAGAGTATATTGTATATTCCTCCATGGACTTGTTTGTGCTAAATTGTTGTCCCTAACCTGTTTGACGAAATGCCTCAACAACTTTGATTAAGTTGGATTATTCCTCCATGGATTTTTATTAACTTGTTTGTGCTAAATTATTAGGTATCAAAGAAATTAAAGTTTTCTGGCTTGCCGTAGAACCCTGGTTATGCAAGATGAGGAGTATGCTGGTGCTCTGGGGTGCAGGGTGGTAGAATCGCAAGGGATTGAGATAGAACTGCTCTGTTGCCACGGTAGCTGGGGAGGTCTCTGGAGCTGCACAGCGGTCTGATGATAAGAGGGTGTACTGGCGGAGTGTAGTTTGTAAGTACTGATAAATTGCTTGGTTTTGCTTCTCGGGTGGTGGTTGTGTTGATTGAAAGTTCCTGATTGGATATCAAATTTATTGCTTCTTTAGGTTACATAGTCTTGTTTGGCATGTTTGCAATTGTGCTTGCTGCTAGCTGGAGTTTCTTGATTATTTATATTTTTCTGTTGGAGTTTGTTTTCGGCTAAAGAAAGAAAGTTGGAACAACTTTCTTGGGGAAGAAAAAAGGGAAAAGTAAAAGGGCAAAGTAAAAGGGAAAAGTTTGGTTCCCTTCACCACCCGTGAGAGCTCTTTCTTTTCGGTTTATAGGGAGAGTTGTAGAGAGAAAGGAAAGTGTTGCTTTTGGAAAAGAAAGAGAGTAAAAAGGAGAGCTCATCATTTTTTCGGTTTAGAAGAAAAGAGGAAGCAATTCTCTGATTAGTAACCCAGTGATGACGTTTAATGAATTTGTCTAGCTATTTTTGAATTTAATAACTAGGGTATTGGATTACTTATTTTCAAATTAAACTTGAATTACTGTTTCGAATGTGTGTTGGGGAATAAGTAAGAGAAATTCTTGGTATATAATAAGAGGAATGTACCAGTTTGTGTATAGCAACTAATCTTGACGACTATAATCAGTTTCTAAATTTGCATTGATTTTCCTTTAGAAATCAAGGTTTGATGGTCAGCATTTTAATTATTCAGTAAGAGGACTATAGCCACTTTCTATTTACAGCCAGAGAGTTTTAATTTTTGCTTTCTGTTTTGTGCATATTCTTGCCTTTGCTTGGTTTTGCTTCTGGGGTGGTGGTTGTGTTGATTGAAAGTTCCTGATTGGATATCAAATTTATTGCTTCTTTAGGTTACATAGTCTTGTTTGGCATGTTTGCAATTGTGCTTGCTGCTAGCTGGAGTTTCTTGATTATTTATATTTTTCTGTTGGAGTTTGTTTTCGGCTAAAGTCTTGGGGAAGAAAAAAGGGAAAAGTAAAAGGGAAAAGTTTGGTTCCCTTCACCACCCGTGAGAGCTCTTTCTTTTTGGTTTATAGGGAGAGTTGTAGAGAGAAAGGAAAGTGTTGCTTTTGGAAAAGAAAGAGAGTAAAAAGGAGAGCTCATCATTTTTTCGGTTTAGAAGAAAAGAGGAAGCAATTCTCTGATTAGTAACCCAGTGATGACGTTTAATGAATTTGTCTAGCTATTTTTGAATTTAATAACTAGGGTATTGGATTACTTATTTTCAAATTAAACTTGAATTACTGTTTCGAATGTGTGTTGGGGAATAAGTAAGAGAAATTCTTGGTATATAATAAGAGGAATGTACCAGTTTGTGTATAGCAACTAATCTTGACGACTATAATCAGTTTCTAAATTTGCATTGATTTTCCTTTAGAAATCAAGGTTTGATGGTCAGCATTTTAATTATTCAGTAAGAGGACTATAGCCACTTTCTATTTACAGCCAGAGAGTTTTAATTTTTGCTTAGTTAATACATTGTATAGTTACAATCGCATTTTCCTTTTCTAGGATCACAATTGCATTTGAGAAATATGATAAGGTTGAAAACTGTAAGAGAAATATTGATGCTCCAGGGTTATAATCCTTCTTGAAAGCTTGATGTGAGTTTTTTTGTTGCATTTACCTTGTCATGAAACCCACAACATTATCTGTTGCATTTAAGAAAAATGTTGTAGGATTAGTTTCTAATGTTATATTTTTATGGTTGAATAAGTGTATAGATGTCGCAGTTGATTACTCGTCGTCGGAGTGTGACCAATGCACCTCCTGCATTATCAGCATCTACGGCTCCAGCCGTGAGTGCTCCATTGATTAGCGAGCCTACACCCTTTGCTGAGGCCACTCCTACGGCGTCCCAGGTGCCCGTATCATCGACGTCATCAGTGTCAGTTGAGCAGCTCAGTGCACGGCGGCCTCATCGGCGGCGCCGTGAGCCGGAACCTTCTGATCACACTTCTTCGGAATCCAGAGTCGAGTGCGAGGCCTCCCATCCAGGTAGTTTTTTCTAATTCTCACTACGCTGTATTTTTTTTTCATTTTAAAACTATTATTTTTATGATGGTGAAAATTTACTGGATTGTGAAAATCTATTGCTGGTTATGAATTAATGTTATTTTATTATTTTAAGGTTTTGGAAAATGCTATACTATTACGGAAGGTTGTGTCGAATTTTTTTTACAAATTTAAGCTTTGGGATTTCACCATTTAAGTATTTTTGGCCAGCTAAAAAAAACACCAGAGGGCCTAGTCGAATGCTGAAGCAGTCACAGACCGCACGACAGGCCGCCTCCAAGATCAAGATTGTGTATGACGCGCAACATCGTGGAGCAGCTACCTCACAGCAACATAGCTTCATTGCTAGTAGCTGTGGTGTTGTTATTCGAGACAATTGTCCTTTTCAGTGGGAGTCTTGGGCAGAAATTCCCGAGGAGACGAAGAGAATGGTGCGACACAAGTTGTCGGTTAGTATATTAATTTTTAGCCTTTATCATTTTTTTAATTTTGTTTACAAATATTAAAAACCAACATATATTATCTTAATATTATTAAATTTCTTACTATTATTTTATTGTTTTTCATATTCGTAGGTCATTTATGATCTTGAGGACATATCCCTTGAGGTCATGAACTACTTAGAGGAGACCTTAGCAAACCGGTACAAAAATTGGAAGAGCACTTTTCACACGTTTTTTAAGCGATGGGATGATCCAGAGATTGCTCGCCTACATGTTCCAAGCGAGTTAAAGGACCGACCAGATGATTGGGAGTGGCTCTGCAAACATTTTACTGACCCAAAATTTGTGGTATGTACATAATATTTTAATAATAATTTATTATTGTTTTAGTAATTTTTAAGCTTTTTTTATTAATTTATTTCAAATAGTTGCACTAACATGTAGACCTGTGTGTTTAACAGAAGAAATCTGTTGCTGGCCAAAAAGCTCGTGAGTCAAAGACACTTCTCCACCATTCCGGTTCGAAACCCTTTTCGTATAGGCTTCAGACACGACGTCAGGTAAAAGTATATTAACTTTGAAATTTTATACAATTTATTATTATTATTGATTAATAAAATTTTCTTATTGTTTTTTTTCTTCAGGAGGGTTCTAAGTTCCCAGCAATCGACATGTTTAAGGACGTTTACGTTCGACCTGGTCAGGAGATTACTGAGCAGTTTCATGTAAGTATATGTAATTATTATTATTCTTATATGTATGAATCATTCAAATATTATTTATATTTTGTTATTAAACATTATATGTTTTTTCTTTATTATTATAGGCTACTATGGTGGAAAAGAGCACTTCTGTTCTCCAAGAAGCAACATCGCAGCTTCCCCCGGAGACCCCGATCGAGGACGTCACGATACCTGAGGATGTAGGTTTTCAGATCATGACTGATGTCCTGGATCAGAACTTAGGTCGTCGTCGTGGCAAGGTTGTTCGGTGTATGGGGAAAGCACAGATTCGTGAAACGGGTGCCTCTTCTTCCATATCAAACGCAGAGGTAGATGCATTGAAGGAGGAAGTGACAACCCTAAAGGCCCAGGGTGAGCAGATGAAGGAGCAGCTGAGGGCCCAGGGCGAGGAGATGAAGTCATATGCCGGGGCGTGGAGAGACCTTGTACAAGCCATACAGATGTCCGGCCTTCAAATCTCACTACCAGCACTTCATCTTGGTCCACCTTCGACCTCAGAGCCACCTCGCCCTGCTGATACCTAGTAGCTTGATGTATTAAACCTAGTTCACTTTTAGTTTTTTCTTTTTTGTTCGGATCTTGTATGTACATTTTCATATATTTTATAATTAAATACTTTTGCTTGGTTAATTAATTATTCTTTCGAATTTAATTACAATATTTATCAAAAATTAAAAAAAAAAAAAAAAAAAGTTTGACCAAAACTACTCCCCACTTTGCACGACCAATCACTTTGCACGACGCACATCGTTAGTCACGCAAAGTGGTTTGCGCGACGCACTCCGTTGGTCACGCAAAGTAAGTTTGCGTGACGCACAAAGTGGGTAGTGCAAAGTGGGTTTGCGCGACGCACACCGTTAGTCACGCAAAGTAGTTTGCGCGACGCACCCCGTTAGTAACGCAAAGTGGGTTTGCGTGACGCACAAAGTGGGTAGTGCAAAGTTGGTTTGCGCGACGCACACCGTTAGTCACGCAAAGTAGTTTGCGCGACGCACACCGTTAGTCACGCAAAGTAGTTTGCGCGACGCACCCCGTTAGTAACGCAAAGTGGGTTTGCGTGACGCACAAAGTGGGTAGTGCAAAGTGGGTTTGCGCGACGCACTCCGTGAGTCACGCAAAGTGGGTTTGCGTGACGCACAAAGTGGGTAGTGCAAAGTGGGTTTGCGCGACGCAGTCCGTGGTCGCGCAAAGTTGGTTTGCGTGACGCACAGCGTTGGTCGCGCAAACCCACTTTGCGCGACGCGCAAAGTGCCGTCGCGCAAAACAACTTTGCGCGACGCACGCCCCCGTGGCCGTCGCTCAAACCCTAGCGTCTCAGACTTTGCGCGACGATTAACGCGCGACGAAGGTTGCGTCGCGCAAACCCTTAGGCAACGATTTTTTACTTTGCGCGACGAAAGTACCTACGTCGCGCAAAGTGTTTTTTTTACTAGTGCCAATTGGCTACCCTTGGAATTGTTTGTAAAGTTCGATGAAATACCACTATATCGTTGCTTGTCAAAACAAAAAAATAAAATAAAATGATCAAAATCATACTATGTCGTACAACAAATCCATGAGCAATAAACAGGTATCATTGTCAAAGAGATTCAATGAAAGTAAAATCATTATAACGACTTTGTACAAATTAAAATAAAATCATGTTATAAAAACCTATATAGATTAGATTCAATGAATGCTGCAAACATTACTACTCTTTTTGTCTATATAAACGTAATCAACTGACAATTCCATCCAACAATAATGAATCGAGAATAATAGTATCATGTAAAATCTTAATAAAAGCGCTTTTTACAAAATTATTTTTGTATTCTGCAGACACTTTCAACCAAAAGTACTTCCAAGCGTTTTTAGTTAAGTCACGTTTGCAAAAGTGCTTTTATCCAAGCAAGCCATAGAATTCAGCTTCTATTTTCGGATTCCTTCCACTTTTTCCTTCTCACAGATGTCTTCACAAAATCCGGCTTTTCTGCTCTTTTAAGTAGTTGGTTTTTAACTTTAAACCCCCCAAAAGGACATTTCTTTCTTTCTTTTTCTCTTCCAAATTTTCATATCATTTGTTAAAGATTAGAAATTTAATTCCTTTTCTTTCCGATTCCTCGAGAACTTTCGAAAGGGTTTTCTCTGATATATTTCCCCAACTGGGTTTGATGAAAAATTCGTCAATCCCATTTGGGGCGGGATAAAAAGTCAGTCGCTGGAGTTTTTTTGTTTTTTTTTTCTTTCAAAATATTGTCTTTGAATTTCCGAAAACTGTTCGTGTACTCCTCCATTGAAATTGCTTCTGGGCTTTCCTTTTAATTTTAACATGTGAAAGATATTTAATTTTCTCCTCCTTTCTTCTTCCCATTTTTCCTCTGCCAGATTCTGCTCTGAATTTAAAGAGTTCAAGGATCAAGCTTTTCATTTTCTTTGTTCCTTTGCCTGCTGGACTAGCTTATATTTCATGAACACAGGAGAGAGAGGGAGAGAGATGGAGGAGTTTAAATTATGTAAATTTTGGTTGTGAGCTGTAAAAAAAAAAATGGTGCTTTTGATCGTGTTGGGATCTTGTCTGATCTGGTTCTGCTCTGTTAGCATTCACAATTCTTGCAAAAGTCTCTGGATTCTTTTGGAGGTGACTCACTTCACCACTATTTTTTATTCTCTGCCTTTTCCTTTTACCTCAGATTAATTGTTGTATGTCTTCAAGTTAATGGAAGAATCTCTACCGTCTCTCCTCCATAAATGGATGTTTTAGTAATAATTGACTAGGCACGCCTGTATTTCTGCGTATTGAAGTCATAGCTTGAACATTGTGGGGTGCTAAAATGCGTGGTGCGTGAATTACTTCTGTAGTATTACTTTTTTTTTTAAATTTGTTCTCTTGAAGAAAAATGCAATCGGTGATTAATTAGTTATTAGAATTGGGATGTCCATGCAAGATTTGCAAAATCCACTTTCTGGAATTTGAGGTGATGAAATAAAATAGGTCATGCCATCAGGTTATGTCCAAAATTTTCGGTTTTTGTATTGTTTTGCACCTGATTGGATTTGCTTGGTTACATGAACTTGCACTGGCATTCTGGTGTTATTTTTATTAATTCTCAGTAATTTTGTTTCCAGATGTGACTGTTATTTAGCATGTATTTTCTTTTCTGTTTTTTTTTTCGCTGTTGATATTGCATTAACTCAGATGGTGTTTTCATATTCAGTAAAAAACTTGATTGACTATGAGCAGATAACCTTACACATTATGGGTTGGCTTAGCAAGATTTTTAAGGGCTCGAGCCACAAAATATCGGAGGAGCGTTGTCATGACAATAATGGCGAGGATCCAGATAGCCATGAACCTTCTTGTTCAGGGGTAATAACATCTAACCCTTCTTGATATTATGGAAAATGATCACTTTGTTGAACACGAGTTTCTTTCTAATCCTCATTTGGTATGTTTGAACTCCTTTAACATATTGTGGTGGGAAACTTCATTGTAGGAGGTCTGGTCAGAAAACGAGAATGAAGATATAGATCGTGCTATTGCGCTCTCTCTTTTAGAAAAACACCAAAAAGGGAAAAATGTGGTTGGTGAGTGATCTTTCCTATCGATGATATATATATATATATTGTGCGTGTGTGTGTGTGTATTTCTTCATGTGTGCTCATTTAGGCATTGCATCTTTACTCGGTTTCTTGTGGTACTTTGACTGTTTACATTTACATATGAAATGAAATTATTGTTTACTAGTAGTGGCATTTTGAATTGTGCATTGCATGATGATAGCTATGGCTTCCATTTTGTGGCAGAGCTGTTCGTACATTCTTTTCGTTCTTGTACTGTCAAGCGATTCAGTATGAATCAATAAGAATTTCATATTCTTGGATAGGTTTTGATTCTCAGTTGCAAGAAGATGAACAACTTGCCAGAGTCATACAAGAAAGTCTGAATGCGGAGTCTCCTCGACATGGAAATGGAAATGGAAATACGTATCAACCTATCCCTCCTCCCCGACATGGAAATGGAAATGGAAATGGAAATACATATCAACCTATCACTCCTCCCCGATATGGAAATGGAAGTTCATATCCCATCCCCATGTACCACCCAATGGGCTCCAGGTACATGATTATAAGATGGACAACTGTAGTCACATTTCAGTGCTATTTCTTCCTTGACGTTGCTTCACTGATTGATTACCTCATGGGTGTAGAATGGTCTTTGAAACAACAATATGTAATTGTCTGAGGGCATCTCATTTCTAACATTTTCTCAATGCTTCTTTGTATTCTCAGTCATTACCCTTTCTCTTGTATACCGTGAATTCCTATTCTATGCTTCTGTTACTTTGTAAATTTTGATTTCTTTCGCTTGGACCTGATTGTGTACAATGATGGAATTTTGAAGTCACTGTTTAGGAATGACAAATAAAAAAACTTGAGTTGATGGCATGTTAATTTGAAATGTTAACAATTTATTCAGTATGTAGGATGTAAGTGGTGGAATTGTAGTTGCTTTTGTCCACATCAACCACACTGAGCACCAAACTCCTCTTGATGCACCGATAATTCTCTGTGGAACTTAACATTACATTCCATATTGGTCCTTTGCTTATTTCCCATATTATGGCACTGAGTATTCTCATTCTTTGACATAGGGTTTGTGCTGGTTGCAATGCTGAGATAGGTTTTGGACGATATTTAAATTGCATGAATGCAGTTTGGCATCCAGAATGTTTCCGCTGTCGTGCATGCAACCAACCAATTTCTGATTATGAGGTGCAAAAATAGGTTTAATTTCAGTAATGGTTCTTTTGCAAGATAACTTTTTGTTGTCCAATTTATCTTTCATATGTTTCATTTTATGTAGTTTTCTACATCTGGGCATGATCCTTACCATAAAGCTTGCTACAAGGAGAGCTACCACCCAAAATGTGATGTTTGCAAGCACTTTGTAAGTATCACGATCTGATTTGATTTTTAAGTTACGACGGTGATAAGAGGAAGGACACATGACAGCTGCTAACCATGCCTCGTTGAATTTTATTTTAAGTTGAATATTAAATGTCGAGAAATAACTCGTATATGATTTGTTGATAGTTGTTCTTTGTTTTTATAATATACATCTTTTGACAGATTCCAACAAACCCTGCTGGTCTTATTGAATATAGGGCACATCCATTTTGGGTCCAAAAATACTGCCCTGCTCATGAAATTGATAATACTCCTCGGTGCGGCAGTTGTGAGCGAATGGAGGTCAGTCGGAATAAATTACTTTTTGCAGTTATGCCCCGAAGTATGGCTGACCCGATTTTTAAAAGAAAAAGAAAATAGAAAGCAAAAGAGTTTGTTACAAGATGTCTATACGTTACATGCAGGCCCGAGACACAAGATATGTACCCCTTGATGATGGTCGGAAGCTCTGTCTAGAGTGTCTGGACTCTGCAGTCATGGATACCAGTGAATGCCAACCCTTATATCTCGATATTCAAGAATTTTATGAAGGTTTAAATATGAAGTTGGAGCAGCAAGTTCCACTACTCTTGGTTGAAAGACAAGCGCTAAATGAAGCAAGAGGAGGAGAAAGAAATGTAAAGACATTCGGTTAAAACCATATCCTTTAAGTACGAAAGTAGGACAGTTTTCCATGGTCATAATTGGCAAATCATGCATTGTTAATCGAAAACATTTTTCTCATTTGTCTCTGATAATTACAAAACTAATGCATATGAAAATCATTCATTCCATTGGTTTTATGTTATTGACATGTTACAGAAACATCCACGTACAAGTTTCTCTGGAGATTTTTTGAATTCTCTCCAATAATTTGTACAGTCCAAACATCACACTTGCATCCTGTCGTATTGTTATCTACTCATCTTCTGTTGAGGGTTTTCTTTTTAAGCTTAGAGACAAAATCCGACTTTGATCAATTTTTTGTCGTTTCCAGGGCCATTATCACATGCCTGAGACTAGAGGGCTTTGCCTTTCTGAGGAACAAACTATTAGCACGGTGAGAGTTTTATGAATATATTATTTTTGCTTTCTACAGCGGTTGATTTTTTGTAAGGTATCTTCTCGTGGGTTAGCAACTTATATTGTATGGATCCGGGAACCACCAGATTTCAAGGTGGCCACGGTTTGGGGCAGGACACCAAGCTGCGGAATTGATAACAGAGCCTTACAAGCTGACTCGTCGCTGTGAGGTGACTGCAATTCTAATCTTGTATGGTCTTCCAAGGTGCGTTTCTATCTATTTCGTTTTGAGGCACAATTGTAACTCCTGGCTGAATTTGTTGCGTGACTAGAACTGTCTGCGTACAGGTTGCTGACTGGGTCTATTCTAGCTCACGAGATGATGCATGCATGGTTGCGGCTTAAAGGTGCTGTTTAGATGGATCCATGTATTTGTTCGTTTAGTCCTATTTCTGCTAATTGCGAACTAAAAATGGCATCAAAATGAAAATTACTGACTAGATTCTCAATACTTATTGAAGGTTACCAACCTCTTAGGCAAGATGTCGAAGAAGGTATCTGTCAAGTTTTAGCTCACATGTGGCTAGAGGCCGAGCTTATGTCTGGCTCAGGCGGCAATGCTGCATCAACCTCGTCTTCCTCCTCTTCCAGGACATCAAAGAAGGGTACAAAATCACCGTTTGAGAGTAAGCTCGGGGGGTTCTTTTTGCACCAGCTTGAAACAGACATGTCCCCGGTATATGGAGATGGATTCAGGGCCGGTCAACAGGCAGTGCAGAAATACGGGCTTCGAAGTACCCTAGAACATATTAGAATGACAGGGTTGTTTCCTTATTGAGGACTGAATCTGAATCCTTGAGTTTATTGGGTGCTTCTGAATCTTTTTTTTTTCCCACATTGGTATAGCTTCTGCCTTTCATATTAGAACCCAAAGGCCAAAAGTGCATAGGAATTGTGACTCCACAGTATCTGTTAGGATGCCGGATGGCATCATCTTGTGGTGACAGTTAGAGTTGAGTATTACTATAAATGGTACATTGTAAGAGAACAAAAGGCAGTTAATGAAATTGTATTGTTGTTCTCATGTTCTGTTACTCTCTTTGTGCAATTGTGGAAGATGTAGAGTAGGGTTCTAATAGTATCACATGATTTTTTTATTGTGGCCGTAATGTCATGAATCAATTCATTAATTTGATTTTCATTTTTACTTTTTTCTGTCTCACTACGTATATATGCAGAATTTTCAGTTTACATGTGGACGACTTTCATGCAATGAGATACCACTGTCAATCATTGCTATGAGAAAATCAAAATGCATGGTAGTATGTAATTGACTTTACTTCAGATATTGTGGTGACATCGTGGCAAGTTTCTTTCCTAGAGATGCCACTCTTATAACTTTAGCCCCAATGAGGAAGGCTCATGGAAAACCGCGTATAAATTCTAAAGAAATTGAAAAAGCAAAATCATGTAAGTGGAACTACATGAGGAATTAAGGTCCTCAATGCACCTTAATAGTAGTAAAAATACAACATAAAATGCTTATGTTGTAAAATTATAAATCTAAATTAACAATTTTGTATGTCTGAATTTATAATTTGGATTCATAGTTTGGCAATATAAATATTTGTTTGGCACAAGAAGTTTAACTTGGTACTTTAATTACACAATCATGGACACACATTCATCGTACGATTTGGCATCTCCCAATCGACGGAACATGTTCTGCAATCCTTTCGGCGTTATGCATCCACAGGCCGTATCAACTTCAAACATCTCAAAGCCCTTTTTAGATCCTCATTGCCATCACCCTCTCGCTCCATCAACTTCACAAAGTCTTCAAACTCCAAGAAGTCGTCGCCTGTTTTGTCGAATTCTTCGATCATGCTCTGAGCCTCGGTGTTGGACATGGCTTCCCCGATGAAGTAAGCGTGGAGGTTGTGGCCGGAAATTTTTGCCATCTTCGTTGGTGTCAAAACGATCAAAAACTTTTGCAAACCCTTTGTCCGTGCTGCCATTGTTTTTATTTTCAGTAGGGAAAGTTGAACTTGAACCTGCGCCTTCTGTTTCGGAAAAAGCCAACTCAGAGATCATATCATCGAGATAAAAAATTTTGCCAAAGTTTCAGAGACTTGTATCAAAAACAATTTGAACTAGTTTTGGAGGGTGCGCCAGGCCAATGCGGTCGGACAAACACAAAGGCGATGCACGAGAGCCCCAGGCAGCGAGCCACTGCAATAGACTCCCCTCTTAAAAAAATTAATTTAATATCATGTGAACCATGAACTCACGTATCATATATTAAACTGATAAGAATAGATATTACATTTAATCTTAACCCAAAGACCGAGAAAGATACGAGTTTAGCTTTAAACCGCGTTCTGTTTTATACACCATGCTGCTTCTGCAGATTGCCGTACTTCCCGATGTGGGAACTAAGTACTGCTGCTGGCAAAGTAAGTAGGAAATTTTTTCCAAAAAAAAAAAAAAGAAAAAAGAAAAGAGGGTAAGTAGGAAATTCTAAAACTATTCGGATCGCGGCACACATGGGAGTTCCATACTTCCATGTGAAAGCAATTCTATTTGTGGACTCCAATATCTTCTCATTTTTTTATACTTTCCGCAGATTATATTTAGCAGACACAATGGGACCTTTGAAATGGAGCCTTCATGTGGACTTGGAAAACTTCATCATTATCTTTTTGAAAAGAAACGATGTGATATCATTGATAGAAACAATACACCAAGAATAAACAAAAGTATGAGCAATAGAAAATTAAGCGAGTTGAACTATATAATAAAATTTCATCGAACAAACTATATAATTTATTTTGTATTCGTATCGTGCTCATAATAGTTAAAGGGATATTGTTAAAGGAATCGAACTCTGATTAGGAAATTGTAGTTTTCAATGATCTCATGAATGAATCGTCGGTAATTTTAGCATAACATTACAATTCCTAAATTTCTTGATTAATTAAGATAATCAGAAACTGTTGACATCAATTAAGACAGTTAACAAGTACAAGCCAACCTTCGACTCTCAAAATAAAGAAGAGAAAGTCATGTCGGATCTTTTAAATTTGTATAGGGGTATGCGTCATCTTAAAAACGTAGACTTAGAGGCACCTCCAAAATTGACAGGCAAAAAGAATATGCCACGTCCAACATTAGTCCACTCCTCTCTGCGTACAAATATGGGAACACCTCCATGTGAAGAAACACATAAGTTTTGCAGCAACGGAGTCTCAACTCAGCCACAGAAACCGTAGCATAAACAACGTTTCAGAACAGCTCAAGTCTTTCATGCGGATTTCACATGTAGATTAAGTTAGTTAGTTATAATTTACAAATGCAGTTAATAAAAAAGCATACCCAACTATTGCACCTAAAGTTGAATCTCTCTTTTCGTAAACCATATTCATTTAGATATTGTCACATGCAAAGAAAAAGCTTGGTACTTTTTTTGTTGATTGTGACTTGGAACAAAGCCATCTTTTTTTTTTTTCTATTTTTTTTTGGGGTCAAAGGAACAAAGCCATCTACGTTGGAGTAAATTCATGGGGTCGTGGCAGGCAAAAGTTATTTGCAACGTCACTGTAGCTATTTACTGAAACATCATTATAAACTTAGGTACCGCCGTTGATCACCGCTTCTCCGCCGTGCATCACCGCAGACTTCAATTCAAACATCAGTTCAAGTAGTAAACAAGTGATTTCAAAGCCACCTGCATGTGAGCTTTTGAGAGAGTATTCATTCATCTTCTTCTCTCCTTTTTTTTTTACACTGTTTAAAAAATTGATGTTTTATCATAAATTAAGGAAATTTAACGAAAAGCTTACAGGTACTGTTCACTTTACCCTTTATTTTGTTCTTATTGTTAAACTCAAGGTTTTTAAAGCTCTTTTCATTAGTTTTCCTTAAAATTAAGGATAGTGTTATTCACACAACTATTTTTACCTCTAACATACCCTCCTTGTTACTTTTTTGCCATTTATATTCTTCAATTTATTTGATCTAACGACCAAAATGAGAGAAATGTGTGTGAAAAATGGGTGTGTACGGAGCACCATCCAAAAATAATTGCCAATATAACGGAGAGTAGTCCAACTCCGTATAAAGTCAAATTTTTCCCTTTGTGAGACTTATACTCTCAGCACCCGTATTTTAAAAATTTTGAACGTTAATAGGAATTATTTTTTATTAAAACAAATACATTATACCCGACGTAATATGTTTCTATATGCAGCGTTGTTGTGATGATATAGTATTTAAGTATAATTATCTATCATGGACGTATTAAATCATGCTTCATATCTCATATATTAATTGGTTACTTTAAATGGAAGAAATCAGCCTGGAATATTTGATTGCAGAATCAGTAATTAGTTAAGCAACCACCTACATGCGCGTTATTAAGAGTATTTTTGCTCACCACCATTTAGTAGGTTTATGCTTATCACCATATTTATTACCTGTTAGATGAGTTTGAATTTCGAGATTTGTATAGTGGATAAACATAAATTTCAAAATTCAAACTTATCTAATGATGATAATTGATAAATAAGATGATGAGCAAAAAATACACTGCGTTATTAAGACTGAAGCAACTTATATTCCTATTAATTAATTGATAATAAATACGTTTTCAAATCCAAAAGCAGACAGCTTACCGTAGGATCTCTGTTCTGTTTCTGAGTCCGAACTGCTCCCTGGCGTCGTTAATTCTAAAACCTAACCTGAAAGTACGTAGGACCCCCAGCCCCTGGGCGTACCACGGTACCCCTGGCTTGTCCGGCTCGTTTCCCGTACTGATTTTTTGGCCTAAAAAGTTTGCCGCGTGTTCCATTTTTTCTTATGACTTGCTGTCTTGCCACCCTCTTTCCTTGTCCTTTTCCCGCTTCCACCGACACTTCATTCCTTCAGCTAAATATCACATTTTTTTTTTTCAACTTTTAAATAAATAAAAATGATTAACAAGAGTTTGTTTTCTAATTTAATTAAAATGAAAGGGGTTTCGAATAAAGATCGTACAGGTTGGCTTTGAATGATATCGACTATTGAGCATCGACATTATGATTACAGCTTGATACGTGTAAGTTTTTATTTTAAAAATTTTAAGCGTTATATTATATATACATCAAACTGTAATTTAAAGATGAAAAATAAGCGAGTAGCGATTTAATTCATGTCTATCCTGCAATGACGAAAGCTCCAACTTGCGGTGGTATTGTGAATTGACAGCAGTACAATAATCAAAGTTCCAAAATTTCACATGAGCGACGTTAGCGTTGAATTATTTGAGATAATTTGTTCTTTTTGCAAAGACACAAAATAAGAAGAAAAGACTTCAACGACAGCTGTATTTAATGTAGTTTGAAAATGGCTCAATAGTACTTATGGTTCAATAATACTTGTGTCACTGACTATGACTCGTTAGACACTCTGGGAAACTGCACAATCTTTTTCTAAATCAATCATAATTGAACGTAGTTATCAAATACAATTAACTGTGCGAGAAGAGGGATTTGAACTCAGAATATGTAAGGGGATCCTTCGACAGTTCGATGCACATCTGTCGAGCGTAACTTATTAGCGCATGCAGTTAAAAATAATGTTGAAAACATATTAAGGAGATTTTATTGACGTTGATCAACAAATTGAAATCAAAATTACCATGAATTAATTAAGCCACCAAAAACAGCTCTTTTGCTATACGTGAAGATTACAGACGCCTGTATTATACAATTATATGCATTTCAACGCATAATATTGGTGACAGAAATTCATGAGCGTTGTTCCATTTATTTCTTCTTCTTCCCCTTTTTTTTTTTTTTTTTTTTTCTGAATTAATTAATTTTCTCCCCAGATACTTCCAGTATTTCATCAGCTACGTACTTTTTTTCATGTTCCTGAAATAATACCTGTAGTAGTAGCATAATCTACAAACAAATCCCAAAAGACTGATCATCTCCGAGAGCTCGCTCGTTCCCCAAAACCACGACGCGAAATTCAGAGTCTCAGTCTGTGACTCTGCAGCTTCCACAAGACGGCACCGTTGTCCGCCTCACGAATCCAGAACAAATGGCGTTTCCAAGAGATCGTAAGGAGCCCAGAGAGCATCGAGCGGGCAGGGCCGATTGGCCTCCAGCCGGGCCCACGGCTTCCCCTTCCCGCTCCAATGCAGCAGGCTCACTGCGCCCGGATGCAGATTCCGACAAAGCCCCCTGAAGTTATCGCCGCCGAGCCCGTGCTGGTTCCACCGGTGCTCCACAGGAGCGATTTTCCCAGCGAACACCAAAAGAAACGGCGGGAGGGATCCGAGCTCGTAGATCCGCATTCTCTTCTGGAGATGCATCCACTCCTCTATTTTTGCGGTGTAGTCGCCGCCTCGCCACCGGTCGAGGTCGATGACCATGACGCCAGTGTTAAAGTAGCAGGCGTGGCGGTCGGCGAAGGTGAGGGAGAGTGAGGGGTTGGACCAGAAGGCAGAGGTGAAGTAGGAGGTGAAGTTGGCGTTGCAGTATTCCGGGGCGGCGAGGACGGTGCCGCCTCCGAGGGAAGTGGCAGAGAGCTTGGCGATGTCGTCGACGAGGATGAGGTCGGAGTCGAGGTAGACGACGCGACGGACGCAGAGGGGGAGAAGGTCGGCGAGGTAGGATCGAGCATAGTTGAGGGGGCAGTCGAGGGCGGAGCGAATGGAGATGGAGATGAGGCCGGAGACGTGGGAGTCGTCGAAGGAGTAGATTCGGAATTTCAGGTAGGGAAATGAGGTGGAGATTGTTTGGCGGAGGTGGGAGGCGTTGGCGGCGGCGGAGGCGACGAAGTGGAAGACTGCGTTTTGGGGGCAGGAGGAGTGTTGGAGGATGGAGAGGATCGCGGCCATGGAGCCGCGGATGTAGGCGGTGTCGAGAGTCATTGCCACGTGGACTGCTTGAGGAGAGCAAATCATGTGGCCGTCGTCTGATCCATCGGGGTCCACGTCATCGTCGGGGAGGGTGGTGATTGAAGGGCAGTCTTGGGAGTTATAGAACTGAGGTGCTTCTCTAAACTGTTGGGCGGTCATGGTGGTGGCGTCATGGGTTGCCATGGCGGGGGAGAGGAAGAGGAGGAAGGGGAGGAGGAGGAGGAGGAGTGGAAGTGGGGTGGTCATAATTTGAAAGGGGAGGGAGTGATGTGATGAAACGAGATCTGTACTATTTTCTAGATGATGGGGGTGCATATTTTAAGTTTTATAAAGGGGAGGGGGGTTTTAAAGGACACGCATTTTTGGGGTTTTTTTGTAAATAAAAGAAGAAGAGAGGAGATTTGGGAATTTGGAAAATTGGAATGGAATGAAAGGGGTGGAATGGATGATGGGGAAAGTGTGTGCAAGGCAAGGGAAAGGAGGGGGATTGAAAGAATACACTTCAAAGGAAGAGTAGGAGGGGAGGGAGTCGTTGAGTTCACATTAGTGAGTGAGATACATGATATGATGATACATCTCTTTCTTTTAGTTCAACCTCCTACATCTCATCTTTTTCACTTTGTTTCTTTTTTACCCTTTCGTAACTTGTACATGAATTTTTTGACAATAAAATGTTGTACATCTTTTGGTGTCAAATCGTCATGGAGAATAATTAATATGCTCGTGTTAATATGTATGTGATATCATATCACCCTCAATTCGTAAAATATCAACTATACCTTCCAACTTATGTTATAACGTTTTCATCAGAAACGCGTTTTAGTTGCGACACTCGAAAATGTTTCCATCTACTAGAGCTTAGGGTTTAGGCTCTTTAGGGTGAGGAGATCCATTTGACAGTTAAATTACTAATTATGTCTTGGTAGGTAAGGAGATTCAAGTGTATTTTTCAGCTTTGATTCATTGAAAAAATAATATCAATCTGTAATAAAAATGTGGCAAGTGGTAAATTTTTTTTTTTTTGGTTGAAAAAGGGGCTAAATGTTAATAGTCCAAACAAAATTATTCAATAAAACAATCTAGACCATGTCAAATAATTAGAATTGGTTTAATATTTTTTTTAAATTTTTTTGGTCAAAGAATTGGTTTAGTATTTCAGTTTGGTTTAGGGATTTTGCAAGACTGTCTTTTACATTAACGACTAAGACAGTTCACCAAAATCAACTCATTAAGTAAGACCTAGATACATTAATCGCACTGGTTGTGATAATCTTGTCTAAATTATGTTTTGGCATCGAAACAAAGAGAAATTTTTAATTATGACGAGAACACGGGTGATACGTTAAATGTTTTTATGTAAGTAGGGGAAAATTTTATTTTATAAGTTATTAACTTTTTGACACATATATCTCATTATTTATATAGTGACACATGGTGTACCATCCCGTATGACGGTCATATTGAAAAATCTCTCCGAAACAAGTTCACTTTTTTGATTACCTCTCTAAACACAGAAAACAAATTCTGATCACAAATGTGCATGAAATCTTACAGATAAGAAGCAACTAGAAGTTTAAGGAAACTATTATATTTTGTTTGCTCGTCTTATTAATTTATGAACATAACTTGCGATAACCAAAAGCAAAAATGATGAAATATAAAGGATTTCTTGCCGGGGAAAAGTGCGGCGGCCGGAGAGAGATGCAAATGTGAATCACACCCAGTCACTTATTGCTTCTCTTTTCTTACTAGTACGGATGACAGAACAATCAATCATCACGTTTTCTTTCTCTTTTCTTTTTCATTACAATCGTGAGTCGTACCCAATCAATTTCTGTAATAAAAAACCATGTCTGGAAAACTTTTGTCAAATTGCATGGTTATTTGTCGATGATTCATCAAATCGAAGAATTCTTGTGTACAGGCGGGATACAAGAGGACTTCTGCAAGCAATGAGCGGAGTTCTTCAGCTTCAAAAAACAACGGTTGTTAATGTCTCTTTAGTTAATAAAATTTTGGGTGGTGACTGTGAAAAAGTAACCAGTCATGGAATCATGTATATTATTTTTATCATGCAGCATGTATCATTGATGAAAGAGATACTGAAATAGTAAATAAATCTCCGATTAAGCGGTGGAATTTGTCAACCATCCACTTGTCCTCCTCTTAAGAATGAATATTCTCATCATTTTTTTTAAACTTCGGTTCTTTCCCCTTATTTTCTTGTTAATAATACCTATCAAAGTGTTGATATATCGTAGTCGGAGAAAACTATTTTTGAGCTACCAACACCTCCAAGTGAGAAGCACTTAAAAACCTAGAAGAAGAAAGAAACTTGATGCTTCGAGACCAAGTTTTCTACTAACATACTCCAGATATGTCACACTCTTATGCTCAATGGGACATGGAAAGTTCGATTGTATTAAACTATATAATTATGTGGTCGGAGAGTTAATTATACTTTAATCATTAATTAACGAATGTATTAGTGTAGATTATACGTGTCGTTAAGTAGATTTTAACTCGTACATTCCCTTAAACATACTAAATAAACGATCATTTTTCCTTTATTTTCTTCTTCTTCTTACCACCTAAGCATGCTACAATCCCACCTGTTTTTCCACTAGTCAGCAAAAATTAAAAGACGCGTTTAAAACCCTAATTAAAAAGCATTTAATTAAAATTCTTTTTTTAGATTGCGCTTTATCGCAGAGACCGAAAGTAATTATGCATATGCACTATAATGCGGGTTTGATCATCACCGATTTCTTTACTCTCTAACAACTAACTATTTAACGTACTAGAGTTATTGTTTGTTAAAAAGAAAAAGAAAAGTTAAAAACACTTGGCCGGGGGTTATATATAAATGAACATCACCGTCACCATTCATGTATATGTAAATCAAATGCACACAAAAGTCAATATAAATGGAAACCATCGTTATCACTATACTTTAGTCTATGTCATGCATGCTTCTATAATTTAAAAGAAATTAATATCATCCATAAATAATGTCTCACGAACTCTTCTCCATGTCTTTTGTATTTCAATATCACAATGATTTTATTTTATTTATAAATCACATAAGCGGTTTCATTTCTAATTAAATCGAAATCTTTTATGATTAAAACTTCCATGCTCAATATGTTGTGTAATTGTTTAAATGCAAGTTAAAAAACGACACCAATAAGTTATTTGCTCTTAAATTTTAACAAAATATTATCATTGACACTCTAAGATACATAAACACGGAAAATGATCCTCGTTGGATCCTTTTCCTAGGGATTCCACAATCATGACCGTTCATCGTATATCGTGCAGTCAGTTTTCATTATGTACTATTCATATTTAATTTTAAATTATAAAATTTGAAATGATTTATAGCCCAATGTACGATGAACCGTCACGATCACGGGATCTTTAGGATCCCTAGAAAAAGGATCAGACGAAGATCCTTTTACACATAAACACAATCATTAATGTATGCTCTTATTGTTTTACACCGAAAATAAAAATGAAATGACATAAAGTACAATTACTATTTCAGAATGCTAAAATCGAATCACTATTTTGAAATGTCAATATCATCCCGCGAGCAATGTCTGATAAATAAATGTGTACATTGAACAGTTGTCCGTGGTCACGCTCACCGACAACCCCGAAACGTGTGTGGGTCGTAAGAGGAAACTTAAATGGAAGTTCATTTACGGACGCACGGAAGCACATGCTTGATGCTTGTCTAGAGACTAGGAATTTTGGGCTGCTTGGACTATGTAATTAATACATAAATATTAGGTCAATTTATTCATAGTTTGGAACATTTAAAAGGTTTTTTTTAGTTAAAATAGTTTATAAGGTTGTCATTTTTTTTTTTTTTTTTGATTTTTGAGATGTAGAATCGAAAAAATTGATTCCTAAATCTGTCTTTCGTCAATCATTTTAATCATTTTAATTATTCATAGTTTGGAATATTGTTGTTTCTAAGAAAGAGGCTGTGAAGAATCCCCACAGACAAGGCGAGGCCCAGATTCTTTATTTTTAGATTCTATTGGCGTTTGATCAGTTGCATTCCATGACACTGCAAGTATACATGCCCAGTCTCTTTCACAATAAACTACATGATTGCATAGAATAGCTGGAAAAAGTGTCCACAGGATAGAAGATGGATGCATGGCTACTCGATTAGTCGATCGGATCACTCCGAAGAGAAACTAAAATCTGGACGAGAAAACCAGTCGACAACTTACGTTTCAAACAAGACAATTTATGCATGAGATTTACGCAAGGATGGCACACATCGAATTATCAAGTAATGGACCGGCACAGTAGGAACTGGCATACTGTTGAAAAATACAAAGCTTGGTCATTCATTGAATGTAAAGTTCGCTAATAATCCAGTACTTAAAACGAGCAATACGTTGTATGGAGAGAATCTCGAAAACACAGTTACCACGATAATGTTAACGACAATCGCCATGCTGTGACAACCAGGCAAAATCTACAGCATTTCAGACAATAGTAAAATATGAACACTTACCCTGATCAGAACAAAAAAGATGAACTAGCAGATATACAACCAAGAGGCTGAGCACACCCAAATACCGATATAGCAACTTGAGATTGACATTCAAACTACTGCCAAGCGAGAGCAAGAAATACTGAAATAATAACAATCATACACAACACCTTCAGTCTATGATCTTGCTGTCCCTGACCTGTACCCCTGTGCAGATGGTGCCTATTTGCATGTCCGCCATGAAATGTATTTGAGAACCCATGAGGTAATCCAGCACTTGCACTGAACATGGCGGCCTCAGGAAACCCATGTAGCGGAAAATTGAATAGCGACGGGATAAAGCCACCAATGGCTGCAGAAAATGTGAAATTCCCAAACCTTGTGGTTGCAACTGGTGCAAACCCGCCCAAACCTCCCATCCCTCCCATGAACCCAAATCCACGGGGGGCAAAATGGTTCTGTTCTGGTGGAGGGGCAGTTTCAGGTCTTTGTCCTGCTGGACGGTTTGGGATATTAATACCAGGAATTGACTTCGATCTTGGGTCGGTTGATGTCTTCCCCCTTCCGTATAAGGGAACCAAACTCTCCTCCTTTATGAGCGCTTTGCAAACAGGGCATTCCTGAGAGTGGGAGTGAATGTGGAGCCACTTATAAAGGCAAGGCCAGCAGAAGAGATGGCCGCATAGGGTCACAATTGGGTCTTGGGCCAAGTCAAAGCAGATATTGCATTCGAAGTCACCAGCGTCACTGTTGTTATTGCTACTGCCGGAGAATGAAGGCCCTTGGGACGACCTACTCATTGATTCCCCGAACCCACTTACCATCTCTGGACAACCCTAAATGAATTAGTTCATGAATATCGAAACCAGCCACTGAAACATCTAAATTTCCTTAAACCACTACAAAACAACATCATCATTTCAGACAATCCCCAATTACACCGACTTAAGCCAGACAGCAGTTAAAATTCCCATCAAACATCATGAATGAAAAGAAAGAAGAAAAAAAAACCCCTAATTAAATGATTTAATATCTTCTTACAAAGAAATGGAAAATCTCTGAAAAGTCAGAAATCCCAGAAATCTGAACCTCAATTTAGTACAAAAAATCGCAATCATTCCTAATTCATAACGAATTTCTGAAAACCTTACGAAATTTGAATCAAATTCTCTTGAGATTTCTGATAATTTAAAAGTAATCGATTTAGTCTCAACAATTCGACTTTAAAATTGACCGATTCATATACAATAATATCTTCCTAAAATCACAATTTCATACGCCAAATTCACCGATTTAAACATAAAAGTTGAAATTTACATCGATTCAAACAATCCGATAGAACAAAAAACAAAAAATTCACACAATAATCCGAACGAATACACGGATTGAAATTATCGTTGGGATCGCTACTGACCTTCACATAGAAGAAGTGAGGCGGATCGAATCGCAGTCAATCCGAGCACCGGCGAGATCTCCGTTGACGGGAAGGAGGAAGAGTGTAGAGAATTTGGTGCTTGGTGGGCGATGCAATTTTGACGCGGGTTGAGATCTCCGGACGGGAGATTGTTTTTATGCCTACCTGGCGGCTTCTGAGTGGCAGATCGTGACTCCTCAAATTTATCCGTTGGATTAGATTATGGATTCTGATTCTAAAATCAACGGTGTCAACAATGAATAATCTTGAGAGGTTTTTGGGCTCCACTAGGCCCATGATATTTTGGTCTTGGGCTAATTCGTCATAAGTGTTGGGTTTTTATCATAATTTGGTCCAGTTTTTATCGTCTCTGCCGCTCGTTGTTGCCTCTTTCCTCCTAGAACCGAACCGACAGAAATTGACGAATTGGACCCCGTCCCACTTAACGGTGTCGTTTGGTGAACGAACTGAACTGTGTCCACACACATCTCCTAATGATGAGAAGAAAAATAGTCAATGATTATTTGTTTTAATTTTTTTAGATTGCGAATAATGTTTGTACTTTAAACCACACCAGAAAGAAAGGCACAATTCAAACTCGAGTTAATAGAACGAAAAAAAAATATATATATATATATATATATCAACTAGGATAATCACTACAAAAAAAATGAGCACTGCACACAAAAAATTATATGTGCCTTTTGAGGCCAAAAAGCACCAACATTTGTGCTCATAGACCAATAGCAACAGTGCAGCAACTAAGTTTGTATCTGTGCCCTCTATGGGCGTCACCATTACTTATAGCACACAATATGATGTTTTGTGCCCAAAGCTAAGCACAAATACAACCCTTATTGTGTCTTACCTCTAATAAAGGCTACTGAATGTATGGTGTAAGATGGGCACAATTGCTATTTTAAAGGCTTAGATTGCTGTATAAATGTTAAAGCAAGGGCACAACTTTAAAATTGTGCCACTATTATATTTTAATAAATACAATAAAACTCCAGCACAATTAAAAATTTGTGGCATAATTGGATATTTTTATTTAAACATGGAAATCATCAGGTTGCTCATAGAACCTAATTTCCACCTAAATTTAGAAACTTACAAATCATCCATTACAAACTAAACATAAATCAACATTAGCACTAAAATAGTGAAGTTAATATATTACATAACCCATGTTCTCGGCTAAGACCGATTCATGCAACCTAACAATACAACCCATCCAAATGTTAAACCAAAAAATACATGTTATCCTATGCTGGACATACCCGGGATTCTCTATATACAACAAAATATAACATATCCAAGCTTGTATCCCCAAGTCAAACGTACTAATGGTTAAACTAGCAATATATAAACAAAATACACATCTACAAGGGCTGCTTGATGACAACTAACCAATATTCTCACTTTGGCAGTCCTCATGCATCATAGCACTAGAAATTGGAGGTCCACACTGCACATTCTTGTCATTTCCACCTTCGAAACGCGTTGAAATCTGAGCGTGTGAGCTTACATGGAAAAGAAAACAATGTTAAATATCCTAGGTGCTCCATTTATAATTATTCTCTATTTCTATATATTTAAACTACCAGTTATCAGCACAAATATTTCATTTCCTTGCAACTACCACAACTACATATAAAACATACTTGATAGAGCATGTAATTGCTTTAACGTCTTTATCAAAAAATTCGTTGGTTAGGAAATGCAGAGTGTTGCAATGGAAACATGAAGACCGAATACAGGAGTGTGAATTCAGTGTGCCGTATGCTATATCAATGTTAACATTTCATTTTTACTTAAAATAGCCCCAAAGATTATATAATAATATAGAACTCACCAAACCACCAAACCACTTACCCTAACAAAAAAATGCTGAGAATAAACATGTGTCAATATGTAGCTAAAGGGAGACATAAACTGCAAATCAACAGTGACTAAAAACAAAATCTCATAGACCAACCATACATAAACATGCAGCAAAAAGAAAAAAAAAATGTCGGAAAAACTGACCTTTAATTGTGATTCTAACGAAAACAGCGAGATTGATTGAACCTACAGATCATGCGCAACCCTCTCCTAAAACCAAAGCAAACGCAAGATAAGCTAAAAATAAATAACTTCATTCAATAAATTCACAAAATTAACTCCAAATCACTAAATTAGCCTCTTGAATTCGGCTAGAGATCTCATCAGGAAGCCCAACATTTTTTTGGAATATGATTAGCATTCTCACCTGTCATTTTCAATGTGAATTTCACACTTGCTTTCGACTCTAGCATTGTCAACCACTTTTGTTCCAAATCTTGTATTTCAGTAACGGGTCCCAACATCTTGCAATTTAATAAAGGAGCATTGTAAGATTGTAGAGATGCATAGAACAGATAAAGCTAATGACAGAGAGCTAAGCTAATTCACCTCTTCCAAAAGTCCATGTCTCCACCCAAGCCTAAACATCCCAACATTGCCCCGATAAGTGTGTTGTCCTGACCTGCAAGATTTATAAAGAAGAAGCAGAGAAATTGATGCATAACCACAGATTATAAATTGCAGACAGAATAAAAGGAACAAATTGAAAACACTAAAAAGAAACAGCCAACTGACATCAGAAACCTTTACCTGTGCTTCCCCTTTACATGCTGCTATAGTGTTTGTTTTTCCTTTTCGATTTAGAAATCTGCAATTCTGCTATAGAAAATGAGAGAATTGAATTACATATATTTTAGAATGACATTCCACCCCCTCCTGCCAATATCCTTTTAGAATGACATTCCTACCCATTTGCAAAACAAATTACAAACAAATCATAAGAGTATCTTCATTCAGAAAACCTGACTTCTAAACATGTCAATGTCCAAAATTCTCCCATTTTCAACATGCATTTTTCAAGAAGAGACATACACTGGCACACATACAATGAAAATCATATGAAAAAAAGAGCCAAGAAATCACATAAAAGTATCAATCTTTGAAATTTTATTTTCCTTTCCCCCATCACAGCCAAAAAATAAAGGGTAAGTCTACAAATATCAATTTTCATGCCACAAATTTGTGATACATTACAATCTAAAATCACACACATACATCATGCATATACATACATCAGAGGAAAGGAAGCAAATATTTTCAACAAACGCGATGTAATTCCTTACCTGAGAAAGGTTTGGCCCGGTGATGTGTACTATCCAAACTTTGCACATCCAGAAAGTGAAAAATATGACCTACCAAGGAAATCAGAGCATGCATGTGTTAGGTTTATCATTTGTCTGTCAAACTGTTCGTATCGAGATGTTCGATCAAATTGAAGAAAATTCACAGCAAAATGGAAAATGAAAATATCAAATCACTGAAAGCCCACAAAAAAAAACCCAAAAAAACAAAAAAAAGAAAAGAAGAAGAAAACTGACCTTAAAACAAAGAACAATACACAGAACAGAGAGATGCATCCCCAAAATGAGAGAAAATGATAGAAAACGAAATAAATAAAGGAACCCCCACAACTTGACCTAACAGTGCAACAAAATCCAGAATGACACATCTTTCTCTAACAATAAAATGCAATTGTATTGTCTCTCTTTCTAGAAAATATAAAAAGTTTCAAATTCATGCACACAGAGAGAGTACTTTAAATTTTTTTTATATAACATGAGACGTGGATAATATTATTTATCCAAAAAAATATGTAAATTTTCTTTGTTAAGTTCTTCAATTTAAAAATCTCAATTTCACAAACATGGCAGAATTTTAATGATCTACAATATACAGAAAAAACAGTATTATCCAGCATAGAATAGAGCAGAAGAAACTATAAAAAAAATATCTAGCATTACATCTTCGGTATATTTATGAAACACAGATTTGATGTGTGTGTAAGTAAATCTTTTAGGGTTGTCAATTGGCTAAAAAATATATTGGAAAATAATCAAAAGAAAACACTTTTAGTTGGCTATAAATATTTACCAAGGTCTGTTCAGCAATAAAACTCAGTTCATGTGGAATTGGGGGAAAGAAAAGGTTCAAAACTCTAATCATCCAAATAGAACCTATTATGTTAAAATGGTTCTTGAATAAGGCCAGCAGTGGTATTTGCAAATAAACAACGATGTTAACTCTCATGTCTACGTTCATCGATTAGATTCGATTGAATACCATTTTCTCGGGATGTAGAGCTTGGTGATGATTGACTCCTCGTTTTGCATCTTGTCGATTAAGATTATAACCTAGAAACCAAAATCAAACAAACATAGAAACATATATGAGAAATTACACGAATCAGCAAGGATTTTAAAGATTCGGAATGTAATGAAGAGAGGAAAACATGCTTATATGGCTAATATCATCAAAGAAATTGCAAAAAACAACAAATGGGGAAAATTGCAGAACATGGGCATTTCCTAAAACTACCATCATGTTTTCCATTCCAAACTTTTTTGGGCATACAAAATGAAGCTTATGGAATAAAGAGTAAGATTATTACCTTTGCCAGACCCAAAGTGGTTGCAAAAGCTTGAAAAACCACATGCCAATCCTACCAAAGTCGAATCAACAACCGAAAGGAAACCCATTAAACCCACATTCCAATGCAACCAAAATTCAAACTTCACCTCAAATTAGATCAACAGAAAGAGAAATAGGGGAAAACCCAAATGCCATAGGATAGAAAAACAGGGGAGAGGGAGAGAGGGAGCGAGGGAGAGAGGGAGAAAAAGGGAGATTACAATGAGTGAGTGGGCAAAATTTGAAAGCTTTGGTGAACTCATGGCTCCCCTACGACTCGTTGCATCAATAGGATTAGAAGATTCTGGAAATAAAAAAATTACTGAACGACCATAAATTCAATTAAATAAAATTTTAAGAATTTCGTAAAATCCTAGAACGAATGCTCACAAAAGATGAATAACATATAAATTTAAACAACAAAAAAATTGAAAAATACCTCAACAGAACAGATGGGCAATGGTTATAAACTATTGGCCTGGAAATAGTTGACAAACCACAACCCCATGTCCATGATGTCAACACTGTCGATGTCATCACCTGAAAAGGCATGTAATATATGTTTGTTAATTTCTACAACTAAAATAAAAAACCAACATACTTACTCATGTGTTATGTTTTGTGAAAATCCAAATGAAAATGTATTAAAAAAAAATAATAATAATTATACAGTAGCAACTCTTCATAGAATTCTTCTTCTATCTCCTCCACTTTTTGACCACGATGTCTGCTTCCATATATTAGGTAAACAACACATGAATACATTTAGGATAGAAAATAAACGTTTATTTTAACCCTGCACCAATCAGCTAAATTTCGCAGTAAGCACAACATTTTCATTCCCTACTTAACAGTGAATTAACTATCTACCACTGCCAGATAAATAAGCATTGCTCTTAAAATGATACTTATTAAACTTAACCTTCTTCTTAATTAACACGAAACCGCAGATAATCACCCAAACCAAACTGTTATTCAGTATATAAAGCAAATTACAAACACTTGGAACAAACATTTCAAATTATAAGATCTAATTATGCAATTTCAACTCAATTTTACTCCGACACAATCAAATTTCACACAACTAAACACGAAACGCAGCGAATTTGAGGGCTTAAGAGCAGCATTACGTGCAAAAACTGAAATTTCAATCACCTCGGGCGATCAGAAGCAGAAGGAAGAATGCCGAGCAATCTGGCACACCCAAAGGAGCTCAGAATCTTCTCGCCGACCTTTGACAAATCCATCGCACCCCCTTAATAGGGGACCAAAAACGAAACCCCAGAGCTCTCACTGCCCTCGCTCAAATCGCCATTGAACACAAACGGATTCGCCAAAACACTGCCGAAGGGAGACAGATTCAGCTGCATTTCAATTCGAACCATGGAAAATGACTAACCCAATTTTCAATCACTTAAAAGTAGATCGAGTGAGAGAGAAAGTATACTGTCGTAATATAAAAAATCAGGCAATCATGATTTTCTATCAGAGCAACCAGGAAGAGAATAAAATCCCCTAAAATCCCCAAGAGCAGAGAAAGAACTCACCGAAATTGAATCGAATGGAGAGAACGAACCATTGATGAGGAAAGTGGCAAACCAAGGAGAGGGGCGACGTATGAGTGAGTTTTGGGCTGTGGGTTTCGGATCTCTCGTTCAGGGGAAATGGGGAGGATTCTAGGGTTTGGGGAAGCAAAGAGCGGGGAGAAATAAGGAGGAGCCATCCGGATACCCAAAAAACGAAACGATTTCTAGGGTTTGATGGAGTGTTCAGGCTGTCGGACTTGCTGGGGAATGTTTTTTTTTCGAAGCTATGGCTGCAAAATGGAGGCGCGGCTAGGGTTGTTTTTTTTTTTCTTTCATTCATTTGCAGAAAGGCGAGAGAGAGAGAGCAAAGAGTTGCAAGGGTTGGAGAAAATGAAACAATGGCACAAACGTAATTAACTCAAACTTGAGGGCCCACATCCCCTCTCCAAATCCCACGCACAGCCGTCGATCCCACGAATGCATCCCGATGTAATGGTCAGCCCAACACGTGCATAGCAGGGCACCCAAATCCCACGGACAAAATTACCCTCCTATCTTTTCATAATTACCCTCCAACCCAGCCCTAAAACAAATGGCTTTCTTGAAAATAAGGTGAAATCGAGGGGGATTTTTTTTACTGTAGCCATGAACAGGCCAATTCTCCTCCAACTTTAGAATAGATAATGTCTCATAACCTTTGTGTTGCCACGCTGTGAATTCACTGAATTCTGCGGTATGAAGCGGACGAGAAACATAATTATAACCTAAAAAAATATATACTAGGAGTAAATCTACAAGGGCTAATTAGAAAGAAAACATTATTATATTGGAATACGACATAAGTTGATAAAAGGACCCAAGAGGAGTCCAGCATAGCATAAGATAGTTATATTTTCATAGTACACCAGTGAAATATAACATAATACAAAATATATTAATTGTCCTCGTCATCGCTGCTTAAAATCTCAACGGTAACATTCTGCATATTTCGTGAGCTCAACTGTGGGACAGACAGACCTCTAGGACGAATTTGTGCTTGATAAGTGCGTGGTTCTTCAATAATAACGACATAATTGGTAGACTGTTCAGTTGTTGTTTCAGCAGAAACCAAATTGACAGGATATTGTTCTGTCCTACCTGGGTTTGCCCATGCTGGCAATACACGTCCTTGAGGTGCGCGTACGCATCCGTTATTGAAGGGTAATGCGTAGCCAAGGCAACCATCAACAAAAGTAGTAAGAATGTACTGATTATTAAAAGGACGAGGCATGCGCCCGGCATTAACAGGTTGTCGTGGACGTTGAACTGGAGGATTCATTGTGGAATTTTCTGTTGTAATGTTGGAAGCAATATACGAATGTGATGCTGGAGATTCAGTTCCAATTCTAACTCCACGACGTCGCCTGTCCGCCATTGTCAATGATGTAGAACTTGCTCAAATTCAAAAGAAACATATGTGTATGAAGCAACCTTCTTAATTTCCATATACAAATTAGTAAGGGAGTGTGTGGACGTTTTATAGTAGAATAAAGGCACAAATCCATAATTGTGCCAACATATTCTTTTGCTATAGAGTATTTATTATTTATTAATATTTACTGGACACAATTTCTAACATTTGTGTCAGAAAAGAGGAATTTATAATTATTAAAATATATTCTCTATTTGAAGACCCAATGAGAAGTAGAGTGATTTATTATTTATTAATATTTAGTGGACACAATTTCTATCATTAGTGTCATAAAAAGGAATCTACAATTATTAACTCATTTGTCTATCTGAAGACCAACTAACTTTTGCACAGAGACCAACCCTAAGGGCACAATTGTTGGTTATGTGTCACTGCAGGTAGGACTTTAAAACCAAAAACCATATCACCAAGTATAAAAAACAAACCTGCAAGAAGATAACAATCCAAAAAGCAATTCAAAAAGATACGAATCTAACAAACATTCATTGCACCTGGAAATGATCCTTTGTAAATCTAAAACATGCCACTTAGTACTATGGTGTAGTGGTATTCTTCTTTACTTGTAAGTGAGAGATCTGAGGTTCAGCTTTCGGGAAAAACAAATTTGAACAACATTATTGCTAACTTATTTTGAGGCTAAAATATTGCACGGTAATAAACAGCTTCATACCATTATTTACCACAATTTTATAAATTTTAATTATTGGTGTGCTAGTGGAGGTAAAGACAAACGAGAGAGAACATATAGTGCCTTTGACAAATAATTTTTATAGACACAAAATATTTTTTGTGCCCATTTTCAGTAAAAAAGTTGTCATGTGATCCCACTCGACACGATTTCCGTGCCCATTACTGTTTTGTGTCTGCTTTTTTTAACATTGGGCACAATAGATGGTGCCCTCTATGGAATGGGAATTGTTTAAGCTTTTTGGTGGTCAAACTGACACAAAATTCTCAATTGTGCCCTTTATTTTGTACCCAAAGCTCATTTTTCTTGTAGTGAATTAACTATTTAATTTGGATTTTAAGTTAGAGTTTCTACTTAAAATTGTTCATTGTTGATTAATAGAATTTCGTATTTACAATCAACATTATTCATATTATAAATCATCATGTAAAGATCATCTCTTCAAAAAATCAATTAAAACTAAGGTCGTTTAGTCATCAAACTGTATAAAAACAGACGAACAAAATTGATAAAAGCATTAGAAACCGTCCATGTGCTTGCTACTATAGATAATTGTACAAATGATTTGTAATATGAACAGTTATAGTCATAAACACAAAATTCGGTGACTTGAACACAAAGAACTTGAAGTAAAAGTTTTTATTCATCTTTAAATAGTCAAGCATTGTTGTTTCAAGCTTCTGGGAATATAAAAAGGAGTTAAATAGGAAAGATATTTCAGTGAGACCAACACACGAAGTGATACACCACGTGTCACTATACAAATGGTGGGATTTGTTTGTTAAAAAATTAATAACTTAAAAAATAAAATTTCTCACCACTTATATAAAAACACGTGATGTACCACTCATATTTGTGTCATAATGAAATTTTCTCGTTAGACAACACGATATCCAACTACCAAGGATGTCTTGTAGTTGTGGTGAATGTTATTCTCGTACGTCGTTTTATAGTAACCGATGTAGAATTCAATTAGAAAAATTATCTATAACCACTTTCGTTGCCCACATAAATTTGACGTGCATTTCAGCAAAATATCTTTCTAATAGGATGTATTTTCTGTCACTTATTTTTTTCACTCACCGACACTACTACTTAAATCCAAATGACGCGAAATATGTCGCCTCGGGAGCTTTATTTTTCTTTTGCGGGATGCGACACCATTAGCTTGATAATTCAATCAAAGATTGCCAAAAGCATCTATTATTCAAGAGTGATTAGTAACAAACATACCAAAATAAACACATTCAGAATAATAAATGTGTTCTTTACAATATTTAATTAATGAGGTATTTGCTTAATAAGAATCTGAAAAGCAAGGAAATGAAATGAAACCACGGAATTCTTCTCGCGTATTGAATTGCTAGTTTTAAAGAGAAATCAACATTTTTGAATTTCAACGTGTTAATGAACAAAACATAAATTATAATTTGAAATGATTCACATATAACCTTCAAAAAGATAACTTTATATTTTGCTAAAGAAGCATGGTCTTCGATCGAGCGACATTCAAATTCAAATGCAAAGATAACAACAACAAACCATTCTGATCTACTTAATTACGGTCAAGGGTGCCGTTAAAGCGCATTTTGAACAAGAAAAGCATTGGAGAATCACTCCGAGCAACTATTATTTCATGGTAAAGAAAGGGTCAAAACGCTCATGTGAATCATGTTGGAAGATTACCAGACGCGCTCTAATCGTCAAGTTATGCTTTTTCGCAGGGTCCCACTCCTTATCTCTCTCTCTAGATGGATGGCAAATATATTGAGCAAATCAAAATGCGAAAACAAAAAAGCCTTCAACGCCAAGACATCGACGTCCACCTCAATCAATCAATTAATTAATAATATTATTATTTGTTGCGTTTATAAATAAATAAATGGTAGGCCGCTGCCAACCGGCATATTAGTCAATCCAGCGCAAAAAAAAAAAAAAAACCCAAAACCGACTCACAAGTCACAAGAAAAGAAACTTCCGCAGCCTGTCCTCCTCCTCCACCGCATAATTCCGTATGTCCCTTTATATTCCCGCCGACCTCCGCCAATCTCAATTGTTTTTCGCTGCCGCATTTCGTCCAACACTTGAGACGTAATCCATGTCGCAGACCATCAAATATTGGCTATCGGAGCACCCAACCATCTTAAACTTCCGCTGGAGCACCACCCACTCATGGGGCTCCACCTGGTCCTTCCTCTTCACCGCCATCCCCGCCTACATCGCCGCCGCCGCCGCCCTCCACCTACTACTCACCCTCTTCCGCCGACGTGACCGCCCTGTCCCGCTCGGCCCAATCCCTGCCGTCCACAGCCTCTGCATGGCCCTCATATCCGCCGTCATCTTCGCCGGAATCCTCGTCTCCTCCGCCGCAGAGATTCGCGAAACCCGCTGGTTCTGGCGGCGCACCAAGACCACCCCTTTCCAGTGGCTCCTGTGCTTCCCGCTCGGCACCCGCCCTTCCGGCCGCGTCTTCTTCTGGTCTTACGTCTTCTACCTCTCCCGATTCCTCCACCTCCTCCGCACATTCTTCAACATCCTCCGCCGCCGCCGTCTCACCTTCTTCCACCTCTTCAACCAGTCCATCCTCATCTTCATGTCGTTCCTCTGGCTCGAATTCTCCCAATCGTTCCAGGTCCTCGCCATACTCTCCACCACTCTGCTCTACTCCGTCGTCTACGGCTACCGGTTCTGGACCGGAATCGGGCTCCCCGGCGCGTGCTTTCCCTTCGTGGTGAACTGCCAGGTGGTGCTGCTGGGCTGCAACTTGGTATGCCACGTCGGCGTCCTCTCCCTGCACATTTTGAAAGGCGGCGGGTGCAACGGGATCGGTGCTTGGCTTTGCAACTCCGTCCTCAACGGCGCGATTCTGTTGCTGTTCTTGAAATTCTACGTGAAAATGTATTTGAAGAATTCAGCGGTGGTTGATGAGGTTGTGAGTTCGCCCACGCATTTGGGATCTGAGTCGGAGTCAAAGCCCGTGGTTAAAGAAAAGTATTGTTAACGATAAAAATTTAGTTGCACAGAAATTTCGATAAAGCTGTCTAATTAGATTAGTTCTCACATCCGTTTGGACAAAGCAAAACTCCTTGTCAACGGTGTGATTGGGCTGCCCTACCCAAGCGAGTTACTTGATTTAGCAGGTTCTAGGTGTAGATGGAAATAAGCTTCATTGTGAATATGATATATTTTTCCTTAAATAAATTTGAAAGTTCTCTATTTTCCATTGGAGAGGACAAAACCCTAGGGTTGGATTTTTGTAAGGGATTTTATGTTTGCTATTTGGACTCTGATGTTTTCATACACAAATTAACGAAAAAACTATACAAAAGTATAAAATCGATGAAGGGCGGCTTGGACGGTTTGAAGGATTGCGTATCTACTTAAAATCGACCCTATTATTTAGGGGTTTATGTACTTTTCTTCTATTCATACTAGAAATTTTGGTGGAGATGAGAATCAAACGCAAGTTAGTTGAAGTATAAGAAATTTTATACGCTTAACCACATTTTCCTACCATCCTCATGTTATTTTGGTTGTTGAAGGTTCCACTTGAATGGTCAACCAAATGCAGCATAAAAAATTAAATTATATTTTTGGAAGCCAAATGATCTAACAATTGATAATTGGATTCATTCTTTAAATTATTAAAAACAAAGTCAATCCCCGGGGTGGTTAATTTTTTTAAGGTATAATTACATAACCAGATTGCTAGTTGAATACAATTCTTTTATTTATTTTGATCTTAAAATTTTCCACTTTGAGCCTTTGGCGTGACCTAACCAATTACGGCATCCGAAAATACTAAATTTCAAAATTCCGGAAATACTTGAATTGAAATTAGAGTCTCATGATTCCGATTCCATCCGTCCGAAAATTAGAATATCCTAATCGTGTACGCTAAAGGGCTAGCAAAATTTGGTGATAATTTGGGCCTAAAGGCCCAACATAAAACAAAACTATACAGTAGAGCCCAAATCCAGAAACATAAGGGCTAAAAGAAAAGCGAAGGAAAACCCAATTCATAGTTAAGGCTGAGAGTCAAATTCCCCTGTTATATAGCAACTATTTTCTAACTTGATCGCATTTGTTTTTTGTTGGATAAACCTGGATTTAATGCATCCCAGTTTTTATTTATTTATTTTTTTCTTTTTGGTTCTTTGTCATCCAAATCCAATCCGATCAGCCCCGACGTACCTTGATTACCTCTATCAACCTTCATCAACGCCGGCCGTGGCTTGATCACTAGCAACTCAATTTTCTCCTTGATTTTCACGATTACATGTATTTGGATGAATCCAATGTCTAGCAACACATGACATTGTCGACAAGTATTATCAAGCCAGCCACAAAGAACAGGTACGTGTCTTAATATTTGTCCTAAAGTTTTGTTCATCCACATGTTTTTTTTTTTTGTGTTTTGCACTTTGTCTTCTTGATCTTGATCACTCGTTGACATTTGTAGCTGGTTAGTATTTTGTTTGTTTGTTTGTACATCGTCAATTCTTCATTTTGGTTTCCATAACTAGAAATGTTCTGCTTTCAATCTGATTAAGTCAGTCAGTTATAATAGTATACGTGTTTTTTCATGCTTAAGTTTCAACTTTTTTTGCCATACGTAAAAGTAAATTAAAGTGTCGCTTTGTCAAAAACAAAAAACTTGGATCTTCCCTGCAATTTTATCCCTTCAGATATGGATGGATTCGCTGAGGCACATCCATCAGTCTGCTGCTCAACTTGCATCAGACTCCATCACCAAACAGCACTCTTGATTCTCGTAGTAGTGAAAACTAAGATTGCTTTTCTTTTTTTCCCCTTAATATTATTTCTTATTTTTTGAGATATATCAAAGAGGAAGCTAGTAGATTTGTTGTTTCAATCAAATTATCCAATTTTATAGTCCAATATATTTTATTTTACACAACCAAATTTTATCCAACAAATCTAACAGCTTTAATTTAGCTTTTTGACTCGTTCTCTTTTTCTACAAAAATAAATACTTCCATATTCGCACTTAATTTTGCTCATCATTTACCTAAACCGCTAAAGAAAAAAAAGACATCATCCCAAACGGCTTACACAGCGATCCTGGAAATATCATTTGCCTATTTATGATATTTTCCTTTTTGCTCATTTAGCGACATTATTTTTGGCATTTATATTTTTAGTGTAGTTATATATAAATGGCCTTTTATTTTTGGCCATTTTTTCAAAACCCGCTTGTCTTTTTTTCTGGATTTCTTCAACAACACAAACGTACTCTTCGTTATCGGAGAAAAAACTTCTCTCTAACTCAACTTTGGCATGAGGTATCAATATTTTTCCCCAGTTTTTCTGAATTTTAAACTCCTTTACACACGTACATTGTTTTGTTTTCCCCTTATTTTGTGTTTTGAGATTGAATTTCTACCTTTATAATTGTTCGTGATTATTTCTCAATTACCCAAAATGTAGTGGCATCGATGTGTGAAAATTGAATCATCACAACCCCTTTGTTTTTCATACCAGAGATGCTTGTCTTTGTATCTTAAGGATGAATTAGGGTTTGAAGGTTTTCTTTAAGGAATTGTTATTGACATGTCAATGAAAAGTCAGTATATGAGTTTCTCCAACTTGTGAGGATATATTAAGATATGGAAGTCTCCCTTCAAAAATTGTTATTGACACGTTAATAAAGTCATCATGCATTGGTGGAATTGCAAACTATTCCAAACTGCATGATAAATAAAGCTCCAATTTTGTGCCACAATTCAGTCTATTACATATTTATGTACAGTGTTATTTTGTTTCTTAATTATTACGTTCATATTTAGATTCAGGGACATGTGAAGTAAATTTTAAAACCACATTTTATTAATATTGCAGCTGCATTTAGGGAGGTTTTTCCTGGAACGAGATGGATGTTTGCAGTCCCTTGAAACCAGATTGTAAACTAAAACACAGGCCTTTGTCCCCTCTTAGAGTTGTGAGGGGTGTCTTATGTTTAGTAGTATTTCTCTCGACAGCGTTCACGATTCTTGTCTGTTTTGCTCCAATCATTGCTGTATTATTGCGCCTTTTGAGCATACATATCAGCAGAAAAGCAACCTCCTTGCTCTTCGGCATTTGGCTGGCCTTGTGGCCCTTCCTTTTCGAGAAGATCAACGGCACGAAAGTGGTTTTTTCTGGTGACACCGTGCCGCCCAAGGAACGGACGCTGCTCATTGCCAACCATAAAACCGAGGTTGATTGGATGTACTTGTGGGATCTCGCGTTGCGTAAGGGGTCTCTCGGACACATCAAGTATGTGCTAAAGAGCAGCTTGATGAAGATACCTGTTTTCGGTTGGGGGTTTCACATTCTAGAGTTCATCCCGTTGAAGAGGAAGTGGGAAGCTGATGAACCGATTATGCGGAAAATGCTTTCATCATTTGCTGATCCTGCAGACCCTCTTTGGCTCGCCATTTTTCCTGAAGGAACTGATTATAAGTACTACTTTTTACCCCCTCTATTGTTTTTATCAATGCATTTGTATGTAATTTTAGATTATTAGGTTGAAGTTAATATATTCAGGTTATTAATCTCCATTTGGTTATATAATTAGTCCAACTATAACACAGACGTTCTGCACTGAGAATTTCTGGTTACAATATTGCCTTATTTTTTATGTACCTCTCTACAATGCCACATAAGTCTTGGACCCCATTTTTTATATTGCGGAAACATTTCCAAAACATTGGTTGCATCTCATATTTTTCGACATGCAACCTTCTACATTGCATGCTAGGGTTTGTATTTATTTGATTTAACAGATGAATATATGAATATTTAGTATTCTTTTTCTATCTGTACAGTGAAGAAAAATGCAAAAAGAGTCAGTTGTTTGCTTCTGAAACTGGACTTCCTGTACTGTCACATGTGCTGCTTCCAAGAACAAAAGGCTTTTGTGCTTGCTTGGAAACTCTAAGAAGCTCTTTGGATGCAGGTTTTTTTTATACAAAACTCCACTCTGATTTTTCCACAAAATTTCTTACCGAAACATTTTGAAGATTGTGTGCACGCACGTGCGCGTATTATACGCACATGAGCCCTGATGATCTATATTGTGCTGCAGTTTATGACTTGACGATCGCATACAAGAATCAATGCCCTTCGTTTCTAGACAATGCTTTCGGCGTGGATCCATCAGAAGTTCACATACATGTTCGGCGCATCCCTATCGAAGAGATCCCCGCTTCTAACACCGATGCAGCCTCTTGGTTAACAGAAGCATTCAGGCTCAAGGACAATCTACTGTCCGATTTTGACGATCAAGGCCATTTTCCTAATGAAGGAGGAGAAGAAGAGCTTTCTACATTCAAGTGCTTGGTAAATTTTATCTTGGTAATTGTTTTGACTATCATGCTGATTTACCTAGCCATTTTTTCATCTGTCTGGTTTAAAGTATACATCGGTTTATCATGTGCTTACCTTGCCACAGCTACTTATTTTGATTTTCAACCGATGCCAATTTTATACTTTGTTCAAGCAACATGTGTTTGCAATAGAGCAAGAATTGAATAGCAATTACAGGAGAAATAAAATGTGCAAATTACCAATTTTTCTAGTGTTTTTGGAATGTTTACTGTTACTATATATTGTTGGACTTGCACCTGCGTGTGTTGGCTGCCAATTTCTTATACCGAAACAGGAGATGAACAACTAGGACGTCACCGTAACGGTTTATTCCCATCCCAACCTAAGTAACCAGTCATTGTCTTGAGGCAAGCAATAGATACAAACTTCATTGTTTTAGTCACTGCAGCACATAATTTAATGAGAGCTGCAAATTTTGCTAGTAGCATGCTATTGCTCGGGGATTCTTCAGTCTTTGAAACCACATAAATAGATCTGCAAATAGACCACTTGAAATATGTAAAGTTGGAACCTTGGACTCCTAGGAGAGACTTGTCATTGTTTTACAGAATTACTGTGAATGTCTAACATCTTCAGCTTTGGATGTTATCTTCCTGCAATGAGTTAACTTGTTTTGAACAGTACAAATAAAAAGAACAGCGTCTTGTTTGAAGTGCTTTCAGTGCTTCCGATAATATTCGATAGAAAAGTTAAAGATGCTTACATGTAAAAGCAACTCGGATCTTTATTAAATAATTTGACACACAATATAAGTGTTTTTTTTTTTTTTTGTAAAGAAGTATTTTCTTACACAGATAAAAAAAGAAAAATTTGGAGTTACTCTCGTCTTTATGCTTAAAACAAACAAGAGAAACTTATATACAATAGGAAACAATCAAACCCTGACAGTGCCAACAATTAAACGAAAACGCATTTTACATGGCTCTGCTGTCAAAAATCATTCGTTTGCCGTCTGCCTGCTCATTGCTTTTCTCAAATGACGCCTAAATTTGATCTTTGTGGCCAAGCATTGTCTTCCAATAATTGACCAACCGTTTAGGTCAACTGACTAGAATAATGTGTCTGTGTTATTATTCATGTTCGAATGAGTCTCCTCGTATGTAAAAATAGTTTAAATATATATCATCTTATCAAAGAATCAAGTCATCATTAGCCTTTTTTCCAAACGGGAAACGACTAAGGCCCAAGCCATTCGTTTTGTGAGGTATTTATACGGGAGGGATGACACATGTCATGTTTACCCTTGTATATATATATATGTGTGTGTTGTGTTCGTGTCAAGCCACAAGTTGATTAGCACACAAAAATAATACAATGATATATTATTAACATACAATAACTCATACCATTCATCACAAATATAAGAAAAATTATAATTTTATTGATAAAACATTTAGATGAGCAGTGTCAATAGTGTACACATGAGGTCCTATCTTTGCTTCAAGCGTTTACGTGTAATGTTCGAAATTGTAGCCCTAAAAAAAGTTGTTCTAACGAGGATTGATTAAAGGCAAAGTTTTTGCTACCACCATGCATTCAAAAGAAATTAAAATTGAAAGATTGTGTCATTTGTATTTGCAAACCACTAAACGGGATTCCAAGAAACACACATCCCACCTCAAATCTTATGCGCATTGTTTTATTTACCAAATTACCAAAAAATTACCAAATTACTAAAATGGGTGACACGATTACACATCAGATATTACCGTTAAGAAGCAAAGCAAAAGTTAAAGCTAAACAACCGATAAGGTACCTAAATAGGAAAGTGGGGAGGTGGATTGTTTGCCCTTCCATTTCCATACTTTCCCCATGTCCTTTTGTTTGTGTGGTCACGGTTAAGTCACGTCAACATTTTATATTTCTATTACTTTTTGTTTTATTATTTCTATAAAAAATTAATATAAAATATTGACGTAGCTTAACCGTGACAACACATCACAATAAAAAAGTATGAGGAGAGTATGAAAATGGGAGGGTAGACAATCCACCGGAAAGTGGTGAGACAAAAGATTGCACGCCAATACTTTGATGACATGGCGAGCTCCCATTGGTGCATTACCCAGTAAACGTTAGTGCTTCCGGAGCATCGGGAAACACCCCACCATCTTATACCACGTCACGGAAAGAGAGGAAGAATTTAAAATACCAAAATTAGCCCTGGAACACGCGTATAAATAACAATCGCCAAGCAGAAGCTCACACCACCAGATCAGATTAAATCGTAATTTCAACAACTGCCCTCGACTCTTTCTTCGTTTTCAGTTATGGCGATTAAGCTCTATCTTCTTCTTTCTCTGCTCTCGTTAGGTACGTACCTCATCCCTCTCAACAACTAAACTCGATTGATTACGGTAATTAATACAGTGATTAACTTAATCTCATCAACTTGTTTTTGTTTCTGGGTAATGTTCCTCTAAATGCAGCTGCATGGTGATGTAGTGTACGCGACACAATTCACGCTCCAAAACCGTTGCACCTACACAGTCTGGCCGGGAACTCTCTCCGGAAACGGCGCTGCAATTCTTGGAGAAGGCGGTTTTGCATTGGCCCCGGGTATATCGGTCCAGCTCACTGCCCCTCTCGGCTGGTCCGGCCGGTTCTGGGCGCGAACCGGCTGCACCTTCGACGACGCAGGAAATGGAAACTGCGTCACCGGCGACTGCGGATCGCTAAAATGTGCTGGCGGTGGCGCGCCCCCTGTGACACTAGCAGAGTTCACAATCGGGTCCAACCAGGGGGACAAGGACTTCTATGACGTCAGCCTGGTGGACGGTTACAATGTGGGTATGGGGTTGTGGGCCACCGGCGGAACCGGTGACTGCCAGTACGCGGGGTGCGTGACGGACTTGAACGGCAGCTGTCCGGCGGAGCTGCGGGTGATGGATTCGGGTTCTGGGTGGTGGTGGCGTGCAGGAGCGCGTGCGCGGCATTTAACACGCCGGAGTTTTGCTGTACTGGGGATCACGCAACGCCGCAGACGTGCTCGCCGACGCAATACTCGGAGATGTTCAAGACAGCGTGCCCTACTGCGTATAGCTACGCTTACGATGACGCTTCGAGCACTTGTACCTGTTCCGGGTCGGACTACTTGATTACATTTTGCTCAGCCGGGTCATCATAAGCTAATGATCCATTAATCTGCAGATTGGTATTGGTAGAAATTAAATTTTAGATATGAAGGACCCTTGTACTTATGGGTTTAATTAAACCCTTATTCGTTTTCTTGGGAGACTAAGTAATCGGTGTATGATGTTTCTGATATGATATGGCTAGGGTTATGTAGCAAATTTATTATTATTAATATTATTATTATCATCTCTACTAATTAATAAAACACTCATTGTAAACCAAAACCTTATAAAATTATTAGTTTAACCATCTAATTAAAACAAAACATGAATAAGAAATTCGGGGCAGAAATGTAATTTCACACAACCAAATTTTGCTGTATTTATTTTTTCAAAGTATCACCTATATGTAATTCTAACATATCTCTAATTAAAAATAAATAAAAAACTTCACACTCTCACATTCTCTATCACTCTCTTCCTCTCTCCTATTTCAAAAACAAAAATAAAAAAATTTCTCACACAGTTATTATTATGTTAGAAATTTTATGACCAAGTCTCGGTGTGTGGTTATGCTCGCTTAATTATTTCTCGAATTATAGGTAGATTTCTCTAGTTGTAATTCCCATGCATTTTCGTTATTGTGGATCGTATCATTTTTTTTCTTTTTTTGTTAAGTGTTTTAGTTAGCAGCTTGATTTAAATTTGATTCGTTACGTGGATTCTTCCCGTTGCAATTAGTTTAATATGTTATGATTAGATTGGTGGTTAGTTACATATGTGATTAGCAGACTCCTGAATCTCAAAGCTCAAAATTGAGGGAAGAAGAAGAGAGAGAAGAGAGAAAGGAGTGGTAGTTTGCACATATTTTTTAAATTTTTTATACGTTTTCTGTAAACAACGACGATCATGATTAATAAAAAATATGTGTGAGGCTAAAAGTATATGTGCTTATCATTTCCGACGATGGAAATAGACTGTAATGTTCATATGAATGTGATAGATATCTATAAAATTTCATGCTCTTGCATTTGCATATGCTTGTCTTAATTTCCAAGGCTAAATGATGGTTGGCTCATGGTTTCTCTTGTAAAGAGAGATTATGTGGTTATAACTACAAGCCTTCACATATTTTTATTTTTTTTCCCTAGTAATATACTAATTAATTTGAGAATCTTTTCCGACCATTTTGAGCCACTCTAAAACGAAAACTTGAACCGATCGAGGAAACAAAATTACTAAATGAGTTTAGGACATTTAACTTGAGTTTGGGTTTGGTATATCAACTGAAAAGATGCCTTACGAGAACCGTACTTCAGGTTTTAAATCTGAGTCATAATACGATGCAATAACACTAATGAAACACATCAAACTAACGATGTTATTGAAAAGGAATACAACCATCAACCGTCACGTTTTGTAGTTTACAAAATATGGTTTAAAAAGATGATCTATCAAGCAGCACCCTCTGGCTAAAACTACCCTTCTCTATGCCATGTGGACGTCACATGAGCAAATTTCTCGGAACAAACAGAATTCAAGTAACGTGGGATAAAAATTGAGTTTCAGAAGATTAAGTGGCGAAATTTAAGCTATAGGAGGCACGCGAGTTCGATGTTGAATTCGGGGCGCGGGGGTGGCGTATAAAAAAAATAAGCCACATAAAAAACGCTAAAGTTCCGACCTAAGTACGAAATTCAAAGGCTTTTTCTTCCTTTCAAATTTCAAGGCCTTGGGCCGAACCACTGTGCAAACAACTCAACAAGCTTCTTTCCCTAATTTTTTTTTTTTTCCTTTTTTTTGGAATCCCCCTTGCATTTCTAAATTTCTCTACAAGCAGCCTTCATCTTTGAAAGCCACAGCTCACCTACCGGCCCAACTTTTTTTTTAATTTATTGGGCCGTGCCTAAGATCTAACAGGCCCAGCATTAAAATGCCACCACCTTTACCCTAAAATTACAACCCTAAAAAAATTACTAAAAAAAAAGGAAATAGAACTGCCTATTTTTTCACAGACATCCCTTTTGAGGAACTGTTGCTTGAAAACCAACTATATATGCTGCTAATCCATGACGTTCTCATCTCACTAGAGCCTGTGCATTGCCCTTGTGCTTCGTCTTTACTACTGAATAGGGTTTGATCCGAGCAATCGAGCGAAGCCCCGCATGCCGAATTGTACGATTGACAAGCTGAATAGCAGACGCGGAGCCTGTTGTCCCCGTCCTTGTCACACTTTTGAATTGATATCTGCAAGGACACGGTTGGATTCTTAGTGTTGGAGAGAGATGATAAAGGCGAGAGAAGGTGATGGAGAAAATGAGAAGGGAATGTCGGGTTGTGGAGTGGGAGGCAACTTACCCAGCAAGCCAGCTGCTTCGCGGTCATATCACAGTAGCTGGTTCTGAAGATGCTAAAAAGTTTCCGGGCGCCACCAGGAAACAAACGGTGGTAGTTGGGCATGACCACTACATCCTCAAGCTGCTGCAATATGCTTGGTTCACTGGGTGCACAGTGCTGTCCGGCACCAGAGTTGACAGTTTTCCAGCACATCTTTACAAACTTTAAGACTGGACTGGAGCATGGTGCTGTTCTGGCATGAGTAGCCTGCATAGTCAGAGCAGCGGAATTCACAGACTCCATCATCACAAACACCTCCATGAAGGCTGCATTGCTCATCACAAACCGCTGCATTCCATACACGAGCAATGTTATCAGAAAACAGCTGATAGTCATAATATTAGCGGTCATCATGAACATGACACGGTGCAAAGAATTTAGAAGGTGGTCCTAAATAATTCAACCGGCATCAGTCAAGTGCCTGAAAATTAGGCGATCATTCTCGAGTTGGCTACATTAGCCATATAGACAAACTGGAAGAAGAAAAATGAGAAAAAGAGTGCATACCAGTGGAGCAGTCAACACCAGTGTAGCCTTTATTACATTCACACAGCCCGTCAGAAAGGCAGCTTCCACGTCCATTACAGTTGCTTGGGCAGGTGCCTGCAAATATCATAATTTCAGTAGTGGTTCTAGCTTCTAGGTAAATGGTGCATCATAACTTGGTATAACATTGCATCTTGCGTTCAATACAATAAAAACCATGAAACCCTATATGAGGTGCTTACGTTTACTACAATCACAACCATGAAACCCTAGAAAACAGTGACATCTTCCTTCAACACAGTCTCCATTGAAATTGCATGACTTTGGACATTGTCCATTTGCAGGAACTAGGGCTTTACTACAGAGTTCATCATACGCCGGGCATAACAATTCCCCTGAAAGAGGAATATTTCAAGCTTTAATCATGGTAATGCACATGGAAAGATTAAGAAGGAAAACGATAGATAGAACAGCATCATTACCATTAAATCCTGGGAACTGAAGGGGTCCACCAGCTTCAGGACATACTTTCCACATACCATCCACAGCAACCTGAAAATTGATAAACAATTAAATATGAGACAAGAAGATTGCAGGGGAAATAAAATATGAAGCAGCTTCAAATATAAAGATAACGCTTGTCTATTTTATGGTTGATAAAGCTACTGCGATCCCAAATGTGCACCCAATAATCTAGAGCAGATGAAAAAGAGCACAATCATTGGAATAACATACCTCTAACGAATTGTTAATACATCTGTGCTGATAACATCCATTTCCTTGGGTCATAGAACCCCGTACAAACCCTGTACGTACCAAGGATGAAGCCATACACCTACAAATGACAAGACGAATAATCATTAGCAACATCTTGCAATTTATAACTGCATCTAACTGCATCCAACATCTCAATAAGAAAGCAATGTTCCTATTTTAGAAAGGTGGAATTGGCTTTGAAATCTCACCTAGAGTTACTTCCTCGTACTTCACCCAACATTCTGTCAGGTGGTCGAGCGCTGTTAGTGTCAGTACATGATCCATCAGAGTAGGCAACGAAATAGGTGCAATAATCAGCCAGTGGGGACTGCCCACCTGAAAAGGTCATAAGAAACAGAACTCACATCAAGCCTCAAACCAGGTATTATGGGTAACCGATATTACAATACCCCAAATGATGAAATGCTTATTAACCAGTTCAAATATGATACAGTAAATTACAAATGCAAAAATTATACCCTTGTTAGCCTGGGGAAAATAGCGTGCCCACTGGGGTAGGTCTCCACTGTAACTTACAATTGGACAGTAACCTTCTGCTTCTCTGTTGTATGTACATCCTGACGATTGGGTTGTGTTGCAGTGATATGCCCCCTTCCAGAAATTGCAAGGGGAAGTAACAAATTCAGTTCCTTGGTTGCGGCCCCAATCAAGATTGTCCGCCAAACTATAATTAGCCTGGTACCATCCACTATCTTCTAATAAAGCAAGTGTCATTTTTGAAACCACAGATCTTGTATCCACTGACCCCGTCATAATTTCATTCATTAGAAGTCTTTTCTCCCAGTGTGACCCTGAAAGTTATTAGATGTACAATGATTATTAAACATTTAAATGCTATGTTGGTATAAGTCGTTTTTTTTTTTTTTTGGTAGGGGATCTGCTACAGTTCTTACTATCTATCAACGGTAAAGATTCTCTTTTTGGCATTTCAAACTCTCCTGAATATAGTACATAAAAATATTGTTCCTCATGTTATATAACTGATCATCCATAAATTATAACTAAAGTACAGCATATTGGTGATACAACATCTGCAGCATAGCATACAACTTTTAGAGTACCTGATGTGCCACGCCCTCCACCATCTTCTAGCTCTAAACCTGTGAAATTCTCAGAGAATGCCTGCCAGAAAAACATTCAACCATTAATTTTCTCTGAAAATATATAGCTTTCTTGAGCAGCACAGCAAATCCATGCACAATAAATAGAGTAGATATTTACCGCATAATGATATCTTGAATGCATGACTACACGTGGAAGAACCACACGAGTCACCATACGCCCAAGCTTTTCATCCATTATTTGTTCTGTAACCTATAAATTGATAGCAGGTAAAATTTTGAGGCCAGAGTGTAGATTAACTTTCCATAATCAAGCATCAAAGAAACAGCAATGTTTTTCAAAAATAAATTTCAGAGGACAAGTACAAAAGGAAAATCTAAATGTTCCTAAAGGCTCTTATGCAGATCATGAGCTATTGTCTGTGAAATGTTGCGACAAGATGCGAGGATTATGCTTTCGAAAGAAGAAGAATAGTATTTTGGTACATTGAATACGATTACAAAGTAGCATGCTGGTTAAAATTTCACTCAATTGACGTATACTAGTATAATGGGGCAGACTGATAAAGGCAGAACTCAAATTCTAGTCAAGGAGTGTATCTCATTTCTTGCAATTCCAAAGCACCTAGACGGATACAAATCTTATAGGCCTTAAGAATGGGGGAAAAATGATAATGGCAGGAGATGTACTATTTGAAGTTTC